TATTGCAAAGGAAAATGGGAACATGCCGAAGGAAAAGGGGCACGTTTCAAAAATAAAAAAGGGCACTCGTCAGAGGTGAAAAGGGGGAAGGGGCACTTTTACTAAGTAATAGGGGCACTTGTCAAAGGAAAAGAGGCACTTCTTACAAAATTAAAGGGGCACTTTTGGGGTATCTGAAAAAGTGGGGGGGCACTGTGCCCCCCCTGCCCCCCCCCCCCCCCCCGGGAGGGCCGCCTCTGCCCCTGCCCCTCCATGCACCGGCACGTCATTGCAATATCATGTCTTAATTGCTTTGCTTTGTATATATCTCTTTGATTCCCAGAAAAAGGGAACAAAAAGGAGATTTTTTGGTTTGTTTGGGGGGGGGGGGTGGTGGGGGCTGCATTATTTATACAAAAAAACTTGAAGCCAATACCTTCTTTTCGTAGAATTTTTTTGAAGCAGCCCCTTCCAAAAAAATAAGAAGGCGATTCTTCAGCTCACTGAAGAATCTGCTTAGAGTACTAGGCTAGGCCCTTACGAGAGATCTAGCTATTTATCAAGTCTTTAACTTTTAGGAGTACAATATGATTATCTGATTATGAAAAAGAAAAATTCTATTCCTTCATTAATCGAATATTCTACTCTGAATGACTAATCTAGTATAGAGTCTATGATGATGATGTAGCTACAGTAGATATAGGTCTAGTTTACTCACTAAATCAAATTGGATATTCTACTCGGAATGAATAATGATAATACAGTAGATATAGATCTAGTCTAGTTTGATTAGTTATACTCACACATCACTCGATCAAATTGGGCAGTACAATCATGCAATGCAGTGCAGCAGCCCGGCACGAGTCAGTGAATTCCCCCGCCGACCAGGCAGGCGGCGCTGTACGGCTAGCTGCACACTGAGCTGAGCTGCTGCGGTAGCACTAGGCAGTAGTCTGCTAATTTACGGCCAGGACGAAAGAATGTGAACAAACATCAACCATCTCGTCTAAAATGTACTATATTCGACTTCTCAATAATGAAATCTGTGCCAGGAATAAAAAATAGACCTTCATACGAGATCAAAATGATATTTTTGCAGTGATTTACCGACAAAAACACTGCTCGAATTTCAGTGGTCCGAGTAGATACAACGCACATTTAATGTACGTGCGGCAATGCGGATTGTGAGCTGTGAGTAAATTGTCCGAAATGTCATTTTTTTTGTCATTTTACCTAAAGATAAGTCATAGATTGTCTTCATTAGTATTTTTTAACACAATTCCATTAAAGATTTTGGTTGGAAAGGGCATTATTAAGTCACAAAGAGCACAAACATATACACATTGGTATCTCTCGATCGATTAATCAGGTCGGGACATCTCGGCCCAGTCTTTCCAGCTGGGCCGAGTAGTCCCGTGGGCCGAGTTAGCCCGACTCCATCTAGACCCTAGGGCCTAGGTCTAGACTAGATCTAGATCTAGAGTAAAATGTGTACTAAAGTTAGACCCTAGATCATTAGTAGGGGTAACCTCGCTATATTCATCGTGTTCATTTTAGAAATCAATGATTCTTTCTTGGGGTAATCCAGCTAAAAAGTGGAAGTTACAAACTGATTCAGCCGAGCAAGCGCGTAGCCAGGATTTCATTTTAGGGGGGGCGGTAGTGAGCACGCAAAGCGTGCGAATCACTTAAAGAGCGCGCGAAGCGCGCTCCCTAGGGGGGTGGGTGCAGGGAGGGGGGAGTTTCCCCCCTCCCGCGCGAAGCGCGGAAGCTTTGAAAGAAGACGATTCGTTGCATGTACCTTTCTCGACTCATAATCCTTGTCTGAATCCAGTCCCTCCCCTCTCTCGCGCGAAGCTTTGACGTTTCATTAAATTATTAGAGAAAGAAGACGATTCGTTGTACCTTTCCCGACTCATATTTCTAAATTTGAACTCAGTTTCCCCCTTCCCGCGCGAAGCGCGGAAGCTTTGACGATTCATTGTACCGTTCTCGACTCCTTTTTCCCTTTTTCTTCCTACGTCCTCTTTCTTTTTTTTTCTCTCTTTCTCTCTCTTTTTATTTTTTTGGCCGGCGTTTTGGGGGGGGCGACCGCCCCCACCGCCCCCCCCTGGCTACGCGCCTGCAGCCGAGGACGCAGGTTCGAAACTGAGTCACGTCTTTCGGATGGTGACGTTTAAAGGTCGGTCCCAGACGTAAATACACGTCTGTAAAAACCCAATACACACACACACACACACACACATACATGTATATTCACGAGGACTGCTGTTCACAATGTTCAAGAATTCAACTTCCTATACCTAAAGGACTAGGACCGCTATTCCTAAAAAGGAAAGGGGGTCACTAGATCTATTCATAAAGGCGTGTAAGGACCGCTATTCATAATGTGAGATGAGGCCGGGTCGCTATTCATCACATTGATCCTTATTTGATGGTCATTTCTCATGCATATTTAATAGGTCTAGGTCTAGGTCTAGGCCTATTGACTGCTTTGACTTTGAGAGGCATAGTGTCAAGGGAAACTCACAACCTGCTATGACCCCAAGGCGCTTGCGCCGCGGGGTCATAGCAGGTTGTGAGTTTCCCGAGACCCTATAGAAACAACTGATGCCTCGAATATTAAAAGCAGTCAATATATATTTTATATACCGAAAAAAAAAGGAAAATGTTGACTCGCCCATTTAGGTTTCCATCTCTTTGAAGTCATGAATATTAACACCAACAATAACTTGTGTACAGTATGAAATCCAACAAGCTGTGCTCCAGTAGAACAGGGAATACCAAACACGTTTACACGAACAGTAACTTTTGTACAGGATGATATCACCAACAAGCTGTGCTCCAGTAGAACAGTAGAACATGAACAGTAACTTTATAAATTCACAAATTCGCAACATATTTACACAGACTGGATTGGAAACAAAAAATTGGAAACAAAAAACCCCAGTATTTTGCGATCGAGACTAGTACACAAAATGGCGATCGGTCGTCTGCGCTGCGTGGATTGGTAGATTCGTCGCCTGAATGCAGCGACCAAAATCGAATTGCACTCAAACACCGTTAACGGTATTGCGCATCGGTCATCGCACAAAAGAAACTTATACGGTAACACGTAAACCAAAATGGGGATCGCAGCAAAATGACGTCACGTTTCACAGCCATGGAAAAAGTGCTATGAAAAATAGATATAAACCGGTAGAGCCGGGAAAAATGACTATGAATTTCGATTAGCGGGCATGGTTAAGAACATGACTGCATTTTCAACCAATCAGAAGACAGGATTAGTAAAGAATCTTAAAATGAGGTATATAAAAGTTACTAAGGAACACTATTAATATCAAGTGTGTACTATACTCGTACTCATATCATAAGGACTGCTATTCATATTACAGAATGCTTATAGCCGGTCGCTATAATACTTGAAATTCCGATCGCTATTCATAATACAAGAAGAGGGTCGCTACTCATAATATGAAACAAGGGTTGCTATTCATAATAATAAATACGGAATGAGGGTCACTATTCATAATACGAGAAGAAGGGTCGCTTTTCATAACTCGAGAAGAGGGTCACTAGATCTATTCATAATATGAGAAGAGGGTCGCTATATTCATAATACGAGAAGAGGGTCGCTAGGCTATATCATAATACAGATTGAGGGTCCCTATATAATTATTATTATATATGCATTATTTATTAAATAAAGAACAGATGTAGACCTAGTAAGTTGTGTATTATAGACCCTAGACTAAGTTTTGGTAATTTTTTTTTAGTCAGACTAGGTGTGCTTAGAGACACCAGTATTAAGCGCCTAATTAATATTGTGTATTGTTATTATACGTGCAACAAAATGAAAATATAAGATGACGTGAGAAATTTGTTTTTGTTTTTATTTTTGGGTGGGATATCTAGCCCTAAAGAGCGTATGAACAAGGGGGCAAGATTTATGTTAAATACAGAGCAAACACAGAATAATTACGGAATGTAAAATTCAAATACCGGTATGCACGCAGCTTCAGAAAAAGTTGAACATCAATTAACTCGAGACATAAATTCAAAGCGAACAAAGAAAATACACGTAATAATGATTCCAATCCATGTATACACGCATACAGGTACGTTTTCAATTAAACAAATACAAATATTTGGGGCAATGTGTCGTCCCCCTCCCCCATGACTACGCCACAGCCATGGGGGTGACCCCCATCCAATATTTTCCTTTCTTTTCATCATTTTGTTTGCTTATTTAATTTGTATGAATAGAGACCCTCATAAAAACCCTCATTCCTCTTAGCAACCCTCTTCTTTGATTATGAAGAGCGGTCCTTATGAATAATGACTTAATGAATAATGACCCTTATGGATGTCCCTTTTCTCAAGTTATGAATAGTGAGCAGACCCTATAACTATTAGACCCACACGTTCAGAGAAAGAACGTAGTGTATGTCATATAGCAATAAAAAAAAGTCGCAGATATACCAGGGTGCGGTTTTATTAATAGTTTGAAAATGATAAATACTCAATAATGAGGTTTTTTATCAGAAAGGATACTGTTAGGTTTAGGGTTCCAAGTGTTTTTGGTATTTGAGGTACTATGGAGGTCTATGTTAGTGGTAAATGAAAGGTCAAATTAAGTAGGTCAGTGCCTAGCCCTATGAGAATGTTCGATCGATCGATGTATGTGGTGAGCTATCAATATTTTAAAGATTATGTTTTTTTTTATTTTGCACTTACATTACTAGGCTGAGAGCTTATGCTGTTATAGGCTAGTATTAGTATAGAGATTTTAGACTGAATGTAAAGCATCACATTTTTACCTTGCTTCTTAGTTGAGATAATACTTGTATTTTGGTTTATACATGCCTTCATATACAGTAGTCTAGTTCAATATTATTTATAATACATTCATGTATAAGAATTAAGGTACAGAGTTGTAAAAGAAGTTGGATGCTATATGGCCTATGCATCTTTATTTGTTGACTTGACTATTGATCGTTTTATATATTTATTAAATTTAGGTTGAACCACTGGCTATAAACCAACGTTCCAAGCCCAATCATGACTGCATTTGTGATTACCGGTATATCGTTGTTGCTTGTGCTATTTCACTCCGCTGAAGCTCAGCAGATTTCAACATCCTGTGATGTTCAATGTTCCTACAAGGAAGACGTGCACGAGGCCAACTGTGAGAGGAGACTACTCAACTCGATACCCATCGAATGTAGTCAATCTACATATTTGTCACTACGTGATAATCTGATCACCGAGATCAAACCTGGAGTATTCAGATATTTCCTTTCTTTGAAGATCCTCATTCTGTCTCGTAATAACATTTATCAAGTAAGTTGCAAAAGACACTGAGTAGGTATAGTAAAGAATAGCGAGAAAATAATTGCAAGATTACAAGACTAAGGTCGGAAATGAGCATAGTTCAGTGCAAATTTTATTACATAATTGTAACAACGCAACCAACTTAGGGTTGTCGACAATACTCAAAATCAACATTTTTAGAACAGCAAGCAATTAGACAATCTTGCAATTTGTTGATAATTTTTCAATAACTTATATGGACTAGCGGTTTCTCTGAAATTCAAAACATTCAAATATAAAGATAAAAAATATTAATTCAATTTCGTGGTCAACACTGTCTTAAAAATATTTAAAAAATAAAAAGGAAAAACCTCCCTCAAGGTTTATAAAATGATGAAAACTATTCATTCTCAATAAGAGTTGTACATGTACACTGTCTATAGATAATCCCAATTCATTGTAATTATCATTATGAGACGAAATATGTCAAATAAATTTTATCTTGATTTTGATGGCCGTTTGGATTGGGTTATTTTTTAAAAACATCTATCAACAAGTAAAACCAAATATATGTTTACTGTTGATTGAAGGCCTATCTCTATACAAAGAGATTAGCATAAAACTAAAGAAATACCTATGGCAATCAATCTGTGTTATGATAGATTAAACGGCATGATTAAACTAGCCCGTAAAAAAAGGTCCGAGACATGAAATAGAATAATTAAACCAGAAAATTTGTCACATTAAAATATTTCCTATTTCACATACCTTGTCATGAACTTGTTATGACATGTCATTAAACTATTATTATTATTTCTTTTGTTTCTCTTATTTCTTAGATCCATGCAAATGCATTTAATGGTGCATATCAACTGAAGTACATCAAGTTACTCTACAACAACCTATATACCATCAGTCGGGATGCACTAAATGGCACAGAGAACCTCCGTTCCATCCACCTGGGAAGGAATTACCTCAGTTCCATAGAGGAGGGGACCTTTCAACTAGCACTGCAACTAGAGCTCATCAACCTCTCCTGGAACCACCTGACTTATCTCAGTCCTGCTGTATTCCGACACTTAAAGAACCTGAATCGTCTTTACCTCGGCAAGAACAAGCTTGTTGATCTTCCTGAAGGCATCTTCAAGGACCAGTCATCCTTGATCTACTTAGACCTTTCCAACAATTTGTTATCCAGCCTACCATTTAACCTTTTCACAAATTTGTTACAATTACATACACTGGATCTATCTGCAAACAGATTAATGGTCATTACTTTTACTCTTTCAAACATTCATGTTTTAAAGTTGCAAAACAATGAACTAAAACATCTTGGCAGTGCTTCCCTGGAAAATTGGACAAGTGTTGCTGAGAGGCTGTATCTAGAAGGCAACCTGTGGACATGTAACTGTTCTTTTGAGCCTTTCGGTTCAGGGTGCCTCCAAGTGTCCCCATACTACTGCAACATATCTGATAGCCCGGTCTGCGCCAGTCCTCCAGACCTTCTTAACCATTCACTTAAAAATCTAAACCAGACATGTCCTCTTCAAAAAACTGTGTTGACAACCAAAGTTACTAAAAATGAATCGCCACATTCACACCACTCCTTCAACATTTTGTTATTGTTTATAGGCTTAGTATGTCTAGTTATGGTGATTATCTACATAAAATGTAGATATGGCCCAACTATTCATGATCTATGGGCCAGAGGCTATTTACCTCGGAGACCGTCTGCGGTCATGGGTACGACCCGAGGCGAGAGTCCCAACACTTCCCCCGGATTTTCAAGGACCAGCCGGAGCAGTAATCAACCTACAGGCATAGCAAATTCGACGAAAAGGCCCTGTGATAGGACTCCGAGTAAGTGCCCATCACAAAACCCACCAAACCCACCAGCACCCCCGAGCAAGAACATTGATAATAGCGGAGATGGAATTGAAAAAGAAAGAAATGGGTGTAGGAGAAATCTGTTTGATGATTTTGTTTAATTCTTGTAAAGAACAAGCCATCCCAGTTGAAAGTAAGCCTCTCGTCGCTCAACTCCTCTCTATAATTACTATTTAATGCCTTGCACCTAGGCCATTTACAATGATGTACATAACGTACAGTACCGGTATGTTTAAAAAGTCTAGGGTATTTGTTCATTTGTTGTCCCATATATTATGTATGAAAGAAAAAATGTGGAAAATGATTTAAGGAACAATATGTGATCAATTTAGCCCTAAAAATCCTTAGAAACAAGTTAAATAGGAGGTAACAAGGAATGTGAAGTCTGTGACACGACTGAGTAATGATACAGAAATCAATTGGGGGAGAATGGAGAGATTCAAAACAGAGTGAAGCACTCAGAAAACAATGTAGAATAAATTTCTTGCCTGTGTGCATACCCGCATGTAAAACAACATTGACGAGGCTTCCTTATACAATCCCGTACTCAGAATGAAAAAACACTGTTGCACAATAAATAGGCTGAAGCTATGAAGAAATAATTTAAGCCAAGAACGTTTTAATCAGTCTTGAACATAATAGAATATTATATCTATTTTACATTTGCAATTTTGAATTTTTCTGTATTTTAATAGGAAAGTACTTTCACTTAGTGACATGTATACTGTTCACACTCCTACACGTAATGTTGTTGACGGAAAACAAAAATGTTAAAGGTTTTCATGATTATGTAAATTACAGGGTTTTGTTATATTGTACATAAACTAAGCAACAACAAAAATAAAAGTGGACACTCTTTTATGTTCAATTTTCATAAGTCAATTAAACATAACCGTAATAAAATATATATCATATGAAAGGAAAATTAATGCTCTACCAACATTATTCAGATCAAGTTTTGATCTTTCATGCTTGGATGGGTACATTCTTTTAACAGTTAGAAGGTCTGATGAAATTTTTTACAAAATAGAGCAATTCAAATATTGATGAACATGCGTATCTGTTAGATATTCTTGTTTCACAACAAAAACTAAGAATGAGAAACAATGAGGACTGAGCTCAGGATGTTGACTGTAGTATCAGGACCTCATGGTTTTGACAATTCTCCTTTTGTTTCTCTTTATTTTTCTTCTTCATTGTTTTAATTGGACTCTACAAGATGGAAATGCTCATCAAACATTTGAATGGCCAGATGCCCCGTATTTGCAATTTTCTTTCAGAGACTCTTTATTGTTAAATGGCTATGCTCACACATGCGTGAATGTTATGATTCTAATTGCATATCATGTTAATTAAATACCGGTAGGATTAATTTTTGTTTGATATTATTTTGAAAGATTTATTTGAAAATCGTAGTGATAAATTGTTTCCACTTTCATATCTTTTGTTTTTGAGTGTATATAATTCTGTAATATTTATGTATAAAGGGAATACTTTTCTGCCGTATGTTTATGTCGTATACTATTTTGTTAACACTATTCATAGTAAAAAGAAAGAATGTTGAGAATTTCGTCTTTTTTAATACATGAAAATCAAACAGGATTTTTGAGTGGTTGCTTTATTGGCAAAAACATACTTTTATTATACGACACGTTACTCTATACTGAATTACATGGTATAGCTGGCATGCTTCTTGATGGTGATCTTGAAAAAGCTTTCAATTCCGTATCGATTAATTTTCTGCTCAATGACCTGGATTTCTTTTGCTTCGGTCCATCTGAAAAGAAATTGATCAACTAAGTTGTTCTATGCAAATGCATCCTCTTGTGCATTAGTTATTGGACACTAGACAGATAGATTTGAAATAGGACAAGGGTGTCGTCAGGGAGATCTTTCGTCTTCCTCCTTTGTCTACCCCTATCTGTACAGGAGAAAGCATCAGTGTCTTGCTTTCATAGAACTCTAATGTATCAAAAATGTTAATAGAATATTTTTCAACTTTGGACCAAGGTTCTTACCTTTTTGTAAATATTATGTTATATAATTCTTTATCTTTTATATAGTGTAAAATACCAAAGCTTTGTATTTAATCACAGAACATATTTACCCTAGATGTAGAATAGCTTGTAGCTTAAGTATGTATCTATTCATATATATTCATTACATTCTCATTCATTGCTGTGATACTTTTGAGTGTTAGTGGTACCAGACACGATTAGCATTAAATGCTATTTTCTGGTCCCATTTATCCTTTCAATGTCAACCATTCACATTTGATCGTTATATTGATGTACTTTTTGTTTGGATAATAAACTTCAAACTCAATGAACTCGCCTCTTTTTGTTAGTAAGTGAGATACTTGGTATCCTAATACGACACTCACATTCTTTAGCTGGATTGCATATGAATGGAAAATGCTTAAACTGTTGCAATATGCAGATAATAACCTTTTGACATTCAACGGTTCAATGCAGGATTTACAATGTGCCCTTACAATAATTAATGAATTCATGCAAATATGTCAAAAATATCTCAAATCCAACACAACTAAAACTCAAGTTATATGGATTGGCAAGAACAGAGCTTTCACAAAAGAGATTTTACAACAGTACAAACTTAACTGGATATCTGAAGGATATTTTAAGTACTTGGGCATAGACTTTTCAGTTAAATTATCAGAAATGGTTGATCACAATTATCAAGGAAAGGTTAAAGAGATAATCTGTCAGATGACGATATGGTTGAAAAGAACATCAACTCCCTTAGGGAGAGTATCAGAGTAACCATAGTAAAATCCTTATTTTTACCCAAATTAAATTACCCAATTTTATCTCTTCCAGAACCAAAATTAGAAATTATGAAGGATATCAATCAATGTTTTTTTCCGAATTTATATGGCATGACAAATATAGAAATGTAAAACAAATCTGAAAGAATAGAAATTTATGAAAAAGTGGTTACCTTTTACAAAGTGTTTCTAATTGTTTATTCTTCTAAATTATTTTGCCAAGTAAATCTGTGATATTTTATAAATAAACTGCAATTTGTAAACTCATATCTACAAAATATATGTTCTCATATTTTGAATGGCTAAGAATATTATTTTGAAATTCTGCATGTATATATCTCTTCTTGTATAGATATGTGAACGATATAATTTAATAAAGGAACCCTGTGGAAGGGGGAAAAATGTGTTGAAAATTCTTCATCTGCATCATTATGATTAAAATGCAAACTTTTTGGCCCGAATTCACAAAGTAGGTTTGTCGACAATTACAAACCAAGGTTTGTAAAAACGCTTCAAAACGCGTCACATAAACCTAGGTTTGTCGACAAACCTCCTTTGTGAATTTGGGCCTATGAGTTTTAGACCTGTCCATAGTTATCTAATGAATTCATTTGGAATTTAAACATACACAGTGAAAACGATTTTATTTCTTGTTTTTATTTGTCCATTTCGATTCAAATAACACATTGACACACTATCTAGTACAAATACAATCTACCTGTAAACACACACACACACAAATATATATATATATATATATACAGTATACATATATGTTAATGACGCTTGCTAAGTGTTGCCTCCCTTTAAAGCATCTTCACGATAGTGCAACATGTGTAGAAAATTTTGTCCATTGGAGTTGGCCACTCAAAATACTTGCTACTTTCGAGCTTGAAAGGACTACATACATTTTATTGCAAAATATTATGTTATACAGGATGTGTCCTATACAACATGTAATATGTTATGTGGTACTAAGTTGCTGATGTTATTTTCAACAGGGAAATGATGAATGTAAACAAATTGTATTATAAGTTGCCTCCCAACAATAATGGGACAGCATCTTGAGAAAGGCGGGGAAGGTCAAGGAATCGTAACTAATTTAGATTACGTTGCTTACCGTATGTGCGTAGGGAGCGATATGGGAAAAGATATGTTAATACTCCAAAACAGAAGTATGTGAAACCACCACCACGGAAAAAGGAAAGAATATCGCCACTAGCACCAGCGCCATACAAGCGTTTTGTACCGGCCATCCCAGCCAACTGGATCATACCATATATTGCATATCCACAATTTCATAAAAGTACATTTTGCACTCCATTGGACAGTCATCTTCCAAAGAGAAGAACAAACTATGTGGCGCAAAGAGTGAATGGGAAGAAGAGGAAGAGAAGGATAAAGAAGTTAAAAAAAAGTAGACAAAAGAGGAAGGTATGTTGTATGCTTCGAGTGGTAACTATAAAAATATGACAGAACAAATGACAAATGGTGATGTACATGTACCAGTGTGCATGGTAGATTGCATACCGATAACAGGTGAAAAACTAGTTGAGCCCAAGAGAGAAACTGAGAAAGATGAAGAGCTCTGGCTCTTGAAGAAAACACTCCAAATGGGCTGGCCAGAAGAAGAACAAATTTGTCAAGCACATCAAAAAATCAAACAGTATTGGACAGTTAGAGGAGAGTTGGTTATTGAAGATGATTTGATCTACAAATCAAACAGAGTCATTATTCCCATCAAAATGAGAGCATGTGTACTAAGAAAACTGCATCGGTTACACCAAGGAATTGAAAAGACAAAACTTATAGCAAAAGATGTCGTTTATTGGCCAGGAATGCACAACAAAATCACTGTCATGATTGAAAACTGCAATACCTGTGCAGAATTTATTCAGACCTAAACAAAGAAAAGAGCCACTGCTAGGTATGGCATAAAAAACAAGAACGCCCATGGCAGAAGGTAGGAACAGACTTGTTCAAAATGGATGGTAGAAACTACAAAGAAACTAGACTATTGTGATGCGGTTTGGAGAAATATAAAGAGAAAATCTTTTAAAAACTTTAGGTTCTTTAGAATAGAGCCCTCCAAATTGTATTAAAAGTTGATGCTAGATACCCTACAATTTTCCTGTATCAGCAGTTAAAACTTGATTTCTTAGATAAGAGAAGAGATGAACATGCTCTTTACATGATGTATCAAATTACTAATCATAATTGTCCTAATTACTTGCTAGATTTATTTGAACTAAAAAAATGGAATTATAATATAAGAAATTCAATTGATAATTTCTTACTACCGAAATTAAGAACAGATTTTGAGAAAAAGCGAAGTGCTGGAACTCTATTTCACAAGAACTTAAACGCGAGTTGTCTTATTTGAATTTCAAATGTAATCTAAAGTACATGGAATCACGAGCCATTGATGAGTAATTCCTGTCCCTGTTTAAATATGTATTTGTAAAAAAAAAAAGAAGTAGTGTCTGCACCTACGGTGGCGACTTTTAAGAGTCAATTGAGAGCCCTTCCCTTAGGAAAAGAGGGCTAATCTACCAAGTATACCAAGCAAGTAAGTATTGTAGTGTTTGTTGTATTTATTTTGTATATATTTATTTTATCATTATTATGTTGTATTATGATGTATATATGTAATTTTGATGTTGTATGTTTTTATGTATGCACGGCCCTATGGAAGAACAGTCCATGGGCTGAGGGAGGCCTCCGTGCTTAAATAAATAAATGAACTGAAATGTTGATAGTGGACTATTTTTTCAGCTTCTTTGAAGTCAACCAGTTGAGTTCACTGACAAGTAAAAAGGTGATTGATGTTTGTAAACAACATTTTGCAAGGTATGGAATCCCAGAAACACTTGTTTCTGATAATGGTAATCAGTACACGAGTGAACAATTCAAGGAATTTACTCGACTATATTACCACCAAAAGTGAGGTAGGAAAAGCCTACGAGGGGGATTTTCATAAGATTGAAACAATTCAAACTCTTCATATGTTGAAAAAATAGAGTTTCAAGCTACATGTATCATGGTCAATGCAATTAATGGCATGTTTATCTCATCATTGAAATTTATTTTAAATACAAAGGAAATATAAAATACCTCGATAATGAAGAAGTTAAAGAAAGTAATGGAAATGTTGATCTTGTATATAATTCACGTTTTGTTTTACTTGTTTTGTAAATAGTCTGTATGTATTTTGAAATGGAATAACAAAGTCCCTGTGAAGAGGTAAAGAGAGAAAATAATTAATGGCATGTTATTTTTGGCTTTGTATCTCAATAGATTTGGAAACCAGACTGTGACGTATCTGTGCTCGTGTATCACTTCAATTTCAAGACGTTATTATTTCACGCGCCAATATTTTGATGAATGCGCTGGAGTGGTATAACCAGCGAGATCTCCACCTTCATATGTTACACATATCATTTACTGGGGAGGCGGGGGAGAATTTTCAAGGTCTCAGACTGCGACGTATCCGTTCTCATTTATCACTTCAATTTCAAGACGTTATTATTTCACGTGCCAATATTTTGATGAATGCGCTGGAGTGGTATAACCAGCGAGATCTCCACCTTCATATGTTACACATATCATTTACTGGGGAGGCGGGGGAGGATTTTCAAGGTCTCAGACTGCGACGTATCCGTTCTCATTTATCACTTCAATTTCAAGACGTTATTATATCGCGTGCCAATATATTGATGAATGCGCTGGAGTGGTACAACCAGCGAGATCTCCACCTTCATATGTTGCATACCGGTATATCATTTACTGGGGAGAAGGCCAGGGGGAGCTAGGATTTCCATGGTCTAAGCCATGATGCGTTGGAGTGGTACAACCAGCGAGATCTCCACCTTCATATGTTGCATATTGGTATATCATTTACTGGGGAGAAGGGGGAGCTAGGATTTCCATGGTCTAAGCCGTGATGCGTTGGAGTGGTACAACCAGCGAGATCTCCACCACTATATGTTGCATATATCATTTACTGCGGGGGCGGGGGAGGATTTTCAAGGTCTAAGCCATGATGCGCTGGAGTGGTACAATCAGCGAGCTCTCCACCTCGATATGTTACACATATCATTAACTGGGGAAGCGGAGGAGGAGGATTTCAAAGGTCTCAAAGATGACCCAAGGTATATGCCACCCAAGCCCACAAAGAGCAAACCTTTGGTAAGAAATTCTTGTGTGCATGCTATGTGTTTTCACCCTCATATTATTACAAGGTGTCATATTGATAATTTGAATTCCAAAATTAGACTCATGTTTAATTAAAATTTCATGAAATACTATTATGTCTCCTGTACTTGTTTCATTCAATAATTGTCAAGTGAATACTTATGTCAGGCAGACCCAGGGGCGGCGCCACAGGAGGGGGGGGGGGGGGCAGGGATATCCGTGCCCATTTGTCACTTCAATTCCAAAATGTTATTATTTCGCAAGCCAATATATTGAAAAATGCGCTGGAGTGGTGTAACCAGCAGGATCTCCACCTTCATATGTTACACATATCATTTACTGGGGAGGCGGTGGAGGAGGATTTTGAAGGTATCATCCAAGAATTTTTTACGTCGTTCTGGAAACTAGGGATGCCTTGAGGCATATTTCCTTGGTCGAAGAATGATTTACCCACGTGTGGGTCCATAAAATATGAACCCACCATTGGAAACCAGACTGCGACGTATCCATGCTCATTTGTCATTTCAATTCCAAGACATTATTATTTTGCGTGCCAATATATTGATGAATGCGCTGGAGTGGTACAACCAGCAAGATCTCAACGAAGCAATGAAAGGCTGAAGAGTTCACATTGCAAAAAGCTTGATGAAAAAAGCAAAGGAAGATGGAACTGATCCATAGTTGGAATTTTTTGGACTATCAAAACAATTAACACAAAGTATTTTGATAGGGGAACCAAAGAACTACTCATTCTGAAAGAAGGAGAGAAAGTGGAGCCAACGCATCCAAGCGGAGCGGAACATCATGCTCTCTCATCTTAGGTATCAGTCCTTGCCATCATTCAAGTGCCAAACAGAGAAACAATGAACGTATTCTTCGCGAGATCGGTCCAGTGACAGAGGGAGCGACATCATTTCAGGGTTTCTTCCTACACAGAGAGACCACCAAGGGATAGAGGGAGCATCATTGAAGTAAAAAAATATATCTTTCACAACTGGAGTGCCAACTGATGAAAAGTCTTGACATGGTGTATATCAGAGGGAGAAGAATGATATGATTGCGAAGGACATATTGGTTCATAATTCCTGCCGTGCTACATACGTAAATAAACAAAAATAGAGAGGATCCTATTACTATGTCCATGTTCATGTCCTCAGGCTCAAGTTTCTGAGGTGTATTCAAAATTAAGAAAATTACGAAAGAATATGCATATGAATTGTGTGTACCTTAATAACAGATCTGATTAACTCATCCTTTCAACAAGGGATAGTACCACAACAGTGGAAGCAAGCTCAACTAACCCCTATTCTGAAATCATTACCAGCAACCATTAATAATCTTTCAAGGAAGTTGCAGATATAGTTGAACAGCGAGTAATCAATGGAAAGGAGGTAGTTCAAATGAAAGACCTTGTTTATCATATGAATAGCATATTAGTATCTTACAAGCGTGCCTCATCATACCGAAGTTGGTTACTAAAATCGAGGCTCCAAAAGAAATTAGGTACAAAAAATAGCATTCTCGCTTCCAAGATCATGTAACAAACCTGAGGTTATGTACTCCAACGAGGTGCCGATGTTCTTGTAAAATTAAAGAAGGAAGGAAAAAGGTCTGTTGATCACAAAGATCACATTAGAACATACAAATAAAAGTAAAAAGATCCCATTAGAAAAGAGGATTTTTTTAAAATCAAGTCATCGACAGCAACGGATGTAAATACTCCCCCAGGGCTTCAGAACAAAGTATTCATCGATATTATGGTGCATTTGTGCAATCGTGGGAGAGAAAACTTACGCAGTTTTCCCAAAACAGATTTCGTAGTCATGACTGATTCAACAAATGAGAGACAGTGACAAACTGACAAAAAAATCATCAAGAAGAATCACTCGATGACTCGAGCAGTCAACAAGGAAGGAAGTATGAAAATCATAAGCTGGACCGTCCTGTTGAAGCTTTTCAAAGGTATGTTTCTCATCTTAATCCAGCATGCAGTGACTTTTTTCAGCATCCAAAGACGAGCGTGGAAAGCAATGAGCAAGTGTGTTACTACAATTCTCCCGCAGGCAAGAACACTTTGGGTTAGAAAATGAAGAAAATATTTGTTGAAGCACAGACATCAAAAGTCTACACAAACCACTGCCAACGCACAACATCTATTCATGTCCTAGACGCAAGTGGATTCGAAGCCAGACACATACATGTAATGTCCGTATCCGGACACAAATCCGAAAGTAGCATCAAGCTCTATTCCTATGTTGATGAAGCTAAAAAGAGATGCATGATCAGATGCTTTTCATCAATTAGTGATGGAATAGCTGGCCCATCCACAGCCTCATCCACTTTTGCTAGCATTCATCCCGCTATTAGTAATACTAGTCCAAGACCAGAACCAAGTACGGCAGCTCTTGTGTCGGTACAACACACAGAAAAGACTGTACAGTTGGATTTCACCACAAATTTGCGGATTTCTTAACATCTGACAATGCCACTGGAATCAAGAAAGTATTATAAAATTAGGCCTATAATTAAACTAAAAATGGTGAGTCGGCACAATGCTATATTACCTTTATTTTTCCTTTATCTTGTTTTGTATCTATATACATGTAGGTCATCATAATATCTGTATAATATTTTGTTTGTGCTCTTTGAAACTCTTTCATTGTTGCACTTACATGTACTATAATATATCTGTAAAGCGCTTAGGCACATCGTTGTATTGATGTACATGTATTGGACGCTATATAAAAGCGGAATATTATTATAATTATAATATACAAACGCTTTATTTGTTTCTCAACACATCCATTTAAAAAATTAATCAATAAATATTCCATATTTCACCTGTTAAAATGCATTAATTGTGTGTGTGTGTGTGTGTGTGTGAATAAGTAAATTCCACCTTTTTCCCCTCCAGTAAAACATTTATCTGACAATTTTGAATCACAAAACTCTGGCAATTTAGTTTAAGTCACAAGAAATAAAATTCCTTCTACTTCTACATGTCAGGAAATGTACATTTGTGCTCTTTGAAACTCTTTTTATTGTTGCACTTACACTATAATTATATCCAAACCCTTGATTTTCTTTCCTCATCAATCTATTTTAAAAGTTAGTTCAATTGGTATTCCTTATGCAACCTTGTAAACTGCATTGAATTGCATGAATCAAGTAAATGCCACTTTTTTTCCCCTCCTGTATCAGACACAATAGTTGTTAACTTCTTCTCCACCAATTCACATGCTGTTCCAGTCTGCTGCATCTCTGCTGTTCTCAGCTTGGTAATCTAGAATCTGAACTGGATGGCTCTTTTGGGTAGCCTGGATGATGCCCTTGATGACAAGTCTGTTGCTTCGGTCAGACACCTTCTCTCTGTTCTTTGGCAATTCAGGATTGGGAGCTGGGATGTATCCCAGCCCAAGCCGATGAGCTCCAACCCTCTATCCACCTGTTGTTCTAGTCTGCTGCACATGTCAGAGGCCTTCTCTCGGTTGTTCTCAAGCTTGGCGATCCTGGATCCAGACTGCATGGCTCTCTTTGGAAGCTTTGAGACTTTCTCCTTGCTATTCTCCTGCTTGGCAATTCAGTTTCCAAACTGGATGGCTCTCTCTGGTAGCTGGGATGACATCCCCAGCCCAAGTCAATGGCTGCAACCCTCAATCCACCTGTTGTTCCAGTCTTCTGCACCTGTCAGATGCCTTCTCTCTGTTGTTCTCAAGTTTGGCGATCCTGGATCCAAACTGGATGGCTCTCTTCGGAAGCTTGGAGGAGGCCCCTAGCCCAAGACGCTGGGCTGCAACCCGTAGAAGAAGCTTCTCTCCAACCCCTCTTGGTAGATTTAGATCAGCCTGTGATGGAAAGGTGAACAACATGATTTCAGAAAAGTGTGTCGTCCTCTCCTGCCTACATGAATCCTGTTTATGGTATTAAAGGTAAAGACCAGTTCTGGTCATGCGATTGCATTGTGAAAGAAACGTTGTGGAATCGATCAGAAAAGGTTGATCATCTAGCATCTAGCATCTGCAAGGTTCTGGAATCATCAAAATGATAAGAAATTTGGCCCATTCTTTGTTACAAGTTACAAGCACTATACACAGAAAGATGTATATGGGACTACCCTATATCTCTCACAGACCATGAGAGAAACAAATTTACCAAATATATGAATTAGTAGGCGGTTTCCCGGCAAATTTGTTATCATCATGTATTAGTCAAAACATAATATTCTTTCACATGATTGGTAATGAGAGCTTCCATTTCATTTTTTGAAATTGGGGCGTTTCCAATACTGGTCTTTACCTTTAAGCTTACAGGAACAAGAGAATTTATAAGTCAAGCCATTAACTTCCAATCCATGTGTGCCTTCTAAATTCAAAGATAGTGTTACAGAGAGTGCCATTTCTTTTCCTTCAAATCTAAATGAGAATACATTATTTTTTAAAGGAAGTTATCACTGCATTGACTAGGTAGTGCATATACTTTGCATTGATATAAATGCACAGGATATGATTGACACTTTTGTCTACTCATAACTCATGAGGCATCATTTACACTACGCAGAAAGTTCCTCAACATTGCTATTTATCAACCCTACTAATGTAAATGGATAGAGATAAGAATGTTTTCTTTGATTGTTAGGTACAATGTGAAAACCTATGGCACAACAACAGCAAGGGAGCTTTAATAGTGAAATGTAGTGGCACGAAAAGTTGCGCCCAAAACCCCAAATGAATAATTGTAGAAACTGATATGTTATCATTATAGAGGTAGACCCACATAGTTAAGAGGTGGAGCTGGTAAATTCATGAGCCTTTTCGTACCACGCAACCTACATGTAAATGGGCTACACATAATAATTGATGCAATCACCAATGCAATCAAATATGAACAACTTTATAATTTATTATGACAAAACGGGTTAAAACCAATGCAAGTTTTGTATGTGAGACTTTAATAATAGCCTAATAATAATAGCCTAATAGTCCACTCCAAATTTTATTAAACCGAAACGGAAATTCTTTTTGCCCTATTGATCGTGAGCCCGGCAGCCACTGAGCAGCGCCAGATCGACGTTGCTCTATCCCTTATTGTTGAACCTCAAACAAGGTAGCTACAACTCCCATCTTTTAACGTCTTTTGGTATGACGCGGCCGGGGTTCGAACCCACGACCTCTCAGTTGTGAGGCGGACGCTCTACTGACTGAGCCAACACTCCGGTACACATACCTTGAGGTTAATAGGAAGACTGTTGAGAAAGGAGACGGCATCTTCATCTAAATAGGGTAGACGAGACTCTCTGCCATGATCAGATATCACTCTGGAAACAAAAAGATAGAAATAACTTTGAGACAGGGAGAAGGCTCCTATTTAAAGAGATGGTTGAGTTCTGGTAATGATTGAAAATAAATTCTCACAGAATCCAACAAAACTTTCACTGAATGTTCAAGACTACAAACTAAATGACATGTGCCAAACGATTGTGGTAGAAAATGTAAAGGGGCTGATAAAAGAGCATAGAAAGATGAGGATATCAAGGTACACACTGTAAGTAGGCCTGACACCAAGTGTTTAACACAGGTCACTATGTGCAAATGGGACTTGTGGTTTTTATCGAAGAGCTCAAGATTAGCTTTAAATTTGAAACAGGGAGAAGGCTCTTATATACATGTAACAACTGCATAAAATCAATTCTCATATTGACTAAAGTATCCCTCGTAATTTGTGATCCAACCCATCCCTCTCAGCCTACTCACTCATTTTCAATCTCTCATAATAAACTTGGTGTTCTAGCTGTACAAAAATTCAGATTAAAACCAGAATGGTGACCCTATTTTTATCTCAACCATTTAATGATAAATTCAATTAAAATCCAATGAAATTTCTAATATATCCACCAATTATAATTATTGAATATTCACTGTTTTCAGTACTCCAGAGTCTAATCTCCTTTTTGTAATTTCTTATATTTTCATTTTTACAGAAACGGCCCCTTTTAAAAGTAATAATGTAAACAAATTGAAATACTAAAAGAAAAGGAACAGTGAAATTGCAATAGATCATAAATAAAACTGATTGGCTTTAGTGAACTCGATCGAGGCTACTAAACCGGTCACCTACACATGAACAACAAATTTTCAGATTCAAGAATCTCTATCGACACAGGAAGCTATGAACACATTCCCCCATTTTAACAACTACAGGTGATTTACGAGCCGACACCAAAATTTGGACAACCGTCAATTGCCCACATTCTTACAATACTCGCGAGACACGTAAGACCTAGTTGCACGCACGGTTACTTCTCACACGAGCCCGTAAACAAGCCCCGCCCACAAGGGACTGAGCAGATGACGGGCCAGATCAATAGTTTGTTTACTAGCATAGACGGATCAGGCCTCAAAAGGGCAATTAAATTAAACAATGCTTGCGTAACGGTTTTAACCCATTACATGTGGGAACCAGGTGATCCCAGTAGTAAGAGTATGGGGATTAATGGATTTAGGAGTCACGGGTTAATCATCTAGCATAACACAGGTGTCTGGTGGGGCAAGGGAACCAAGGGGTTGTAAACAGAAAACAGGTCAGGCATTTTTTGTAATCCGATGCTGCCCTCCAAGTCTGATAAATAATAAGGGCTATTCCGTCGGGTGTCCCTACCCCATATCTGACATAACATTTTAGAGGTTAAACTAGTCTGTTAGAAGACACTTTTTTTGCTATAGTATTTACCAACCATAACTGCATTTTTTCTATTTCTCATCTTTTATCATGATTAACCTATACTGTGTTTACGAGTAATTAACTGATCCAGTATGAACGAAAATATTAGCATGTTAATTTGATTGTGTTCTCAACATATAAACATAACGATGTATTTTCACCCATTGTTAATGATCAAAGTCAAATACTTTAATATGTACACAACCCGTTTATTCTTCAATATTACGATTATTGCACCCTTATTTGGTAAAGCTCCCTCTTTCACCACAGAATATTCTCTTCCCTGATGGGGCTTTCCCTATAAAAAGGATACATCTCGGGTCCTCCTCTGGTCACATGAGATAATGTTTCAAATCCCAACTATATGTTTTTCACTTTTCTAAATATTTGCACCTTGATGTACGGATGTTAACAGTGATCAATTAATGATGCACATTTTTCTCCTGAAGATACAAAGTGCTGAATAGTATACTCAGGCTGTTTGCATTACTAACCTGTCGTCTCTCCCCAGATTGCGAGCTGAGATGCGATCCACCTCCATCTTGATCTCTTCTAAGAGACCCTGCCAGCCTTCAGACCTGCAGGATGAAAATAAAGCATTACTACTAGATATATGTAGAGGTGTCGTGGTCGAGTGGATGTGTCACCGGACTGTGGATAACAATCTACATTTGCCACACCCGACCCAGGTGAGGTAAATGGGTACCTGGCAGGATTTAATTCCTTGAAATGCTAGAGCGCCGTAATGGCAGCCATGTTAAAGCTGGGGTAATAATATCCAAAGCTCTTTGGAAGCGCATAGAAGACGTAATGTGATATGCGCTAACAAGAACCAAATATTATTATATGCTTCGTAATTCAAAAATTAAAGGGCAAAAGCTGACATTCTGAGGGTAAAGCATGTCATCACATTAATATATGATCTGCATGGTTTGAATAATTTTTAAAGAGATCTAGACAATCTCCCAATTTTTGACAATAACATTTCAAGGATACTTGAATAACTTTCCCCTTCACCATCCATCTATTCCCTAGACATTTACTCCCTAGGATAACTCCAATCACAGTATTATAAACCGCAAACAACTACTACTTGAAACAATTATTCTTTATTATATAAACCAGTTTTCGAAACACCCCCTTCTCAAAAAATGAAATGGAAGCTCTTATTACCAATCATGTGAAAGAATATGTTTTTACTAATACGTGATGATAGGTATTTTGCCGGGAAACTGCCTACTAATTGACATATTTGGTAAATTATTATATCTATCCGGACTGTAGGGTATCTATAGCGTAGTCCCATATACCTCTTTCTGTGTACAGTGCTTGTAACTTTACCAAGACTGGGCCAAGTTTCTTTTCATTTTGATGATTCCAGAACCTTGCAGTACACACCAATACTTACATGTATATGCTAGATGATCAACCTTTTCTGATCAATTCCACAACGTTTCTTTCACAATGCAATCGCATGACAAGAACTGTTCTATACCTTTAATAGACTTTAAATGACTCATATATGAACCAAGAACATCCAAGTTTATTACAAGACCACGGTTCAACCACCAAGCTATCTTGCCCACTTATATCTGAACATTATCATTATAGCTTACTTGAACTTTGACCTGTGTCTGGCGTATCCGGCCAGCTGCTCATCAGCACCCATGCCAACTAACACCACCTATAAACAAGGATTAAAACAAAAAAATAACAGAGAAATAATATAATATTGACAAATGAACAAAGAAACGTCACTTTGTGGTATGGTGGTTCATTCACTCGACCTTCAATCAAAAGGCACATGTAGAGAGTTCTCATCTCAGCCAAGGCCGTATACCGCGTGAGTCAAAAAAAAGTTTACACCTAGAAAATTGCTAATTATTTTAAAAATCATCTATGAACAGTAAATTATTATACATCGTATGAAAGAGCGTTTTATACCAAATCATTCGGTATCATTTTTGTATGGTATGTGTTCACTCTTGGATAAACGGGAGGCATTGTTTGCGAGAGTGCGAAAATCGACGTGCTATACTAATTTACTGTTCATATATCATTTTTTTAATAATTAGCAATTTTCTAGGTGTAAACTTTTTTTTGACTCACACTGTATACATGTATGTCTTAAGACAAGGCATTTTATAAACAGTTGTCTCTCAGCCTCTCTTTCTCTCTCTCTGTCACTTTCTCATGCTTGAATTATTTCTCTTTCTTTCTTTCCATCTTTCCATCTCTCTCTTTCCATCTTTCTCACTCTTGCTTGCTCTTCTCTCTCTCTCTCTCTCTCTCTCTCTCTCACTCTTGCTTCTCTCTCTCTCTCTCTCTCTCTTTCTCATGCTTGAAATATTTCTTTTCCTATCTTTCCATCTCTCTCGCTTTCTCTCTCTCTCCCTCTCTCAAATGCTTGAATTATTTCTCTTTCTATTCTATCTTTCCATCTCTCTCGCTTTCTTTCTCTCTCCCTCTCTCTCTCTCATTCCTTCTCTCTCTCTAACTTTCTCATGCTTGAAATATTTCTCTTTCTATCTTTCCATCTCTCTCGCTTTCTTTCTCACACACTCTCTCTCTCTCATTCCTTCTCTCTCTCTAACTTTCTCATGCTTGAAATATTTCTCTTTCTATCTTTCCATCTCTCTCGCTTTCTTTCTCACACACTCCCTCTCTCTCTCTCTGTCACTTTCTCATGCTTGAATTATTTCTCGTTCTTTCTTTCCATCTCTCTCTTTCCATCTTTCTCACTCTCTCACTCATGCTCGCTCCTCTCTCTCTCATTTCTATCTCTTGCAATATTTCTCTATCTTTCCATTTCTCTCTCACTTTCTCTCTCTCCCTCTCACTCTTGAAATATTTCTCTTTCCATCTCTCCATCTTCCTTGTTTTCTCACTCTCTCACTCAGGCTCGCTCCTCTCTCTCTCTCCCTCTCTCTTACTTTCTCGCTCTCTCTCTCTCTCTTTATCTCTCTTTCTCATGCTAGAAACATTTTTCTTTTTATCCTCCCATCTCTCTCTCTTTGCTTGCCTCATCCTACTAACCTCCCATTGTCTTCTTCTCACATGCCACATAAATCCATTCACAAGCTATCGCCTCAAAACAATTTAACAGACAGGTTATCGCAATGGGGTTGTTGGTCTTCTTTTCAATTCACAAGAGATGGATCAACCAGGCCGTTGCATCACAATTTAAAACCAACTCTGGGATGCAATGAACTGGAGTGGAATGCGTAATATCTCAGCGGGGGGCCATTAAAAGACGATGAATGTTGCAGTCATCATCCCAGCGAGAAAGCATGTGACATCTCATCACCATAAAAATCAAATAATGTTGATACAGGATGTGAAACAATGGCATGTAATTCTTCATTTTCATGAGAAAAAATCTAAAGGTTCATTGCCTTGTACAGCTTACATATACACCAAGTATGTACTACTAGTTAATGATATCCAGTGAGCGAACATATGCCTTTTCTCATCACCATAACAATGAAAGATAATTTGACAAAGGAAGTGAAACAATATATAATTCCTCATTTTGATGAACAAATGCTTTGGGTTCATTGCATTGTACAGTGCACATATACATAACAAAAACACTAATTGATTTTGAGTAAGGGAACACGTGCCATGCAGGATCTCATCGCCATAGAAATCAAATATATGTTTGACAAAGAAAGTGAAACAATGACATATAATTCCTCGTTTTCATGAACAAATGCTTTGGGTTCATCGCCCGCTGTATGACAATAACCCACTACTGCACCTAAACCAAAAACCTTTGCAACATAAAACTTTTTTGACCTTGTACACAACTGCCACTTGTGTAAATTCCAAAAAACTCTGGGTTGGTTCAATTGTGATTCCATTGTACAAATCTGAATCATTTGCAACATTTGCTGGAAAGTCATGCACAAAGAGGTTCCTGTGCTTATTTACAGCACTATTATTAGGGCAATTCCACGGTAACGGAAGGACACTCAAACAAGATTTTTGAACTTCAGGTTCATACTAAAAGAACTGTTTTATTAGTATAAGATGTGAAACAGTACAGATATAATACCTATATAAGTGCCTTTAATTCTCCCCAAAAAATTGTCATTATAGTTAAGTAGTTTAAGAATGTGCATATTAATTATCTCGGTAACGGAAGGACATAAAAATGGACATGGTTTTTCCAGTTAATTAGTGTTTATCCAAACTTTGTGAAGTTGATGAAGCTTTCCACTTGACTGAAACACATTTTGTTCCCCATAGTTTAATACATACTAATAAAACATTTCTTTTAGTATGAACCTGAAGTTCAAAAATCTTGTCTGAGTGTCCTTCCGTTACCGTGGAATTGCCCATTAAAGCCCCACTACATTACTTGTAGCTACTTGCGCCCTCTATATAGCAAACAATGCCTAATCATTGGTCCTGCCATGGTCCCCTTTTTCTTATGTTAATTGAGAGCTGATTTGATGTGATAACCACCTGTCAGTGACCATGCAGGGAGGTCTAATCCCTCCTGGCCGAACTAATGCAGATAGGCTTTAAGATCATCACGAGACATACCTTGGCAGGACTGGTGTAGGGCTCTCCCAAGCGTTCCTCCTCTTGGAGAGTGTTGTGGGTGATCAGCTTGCCCCTGCCTCTTGCAGCAAACCAGATAGCACAACCTATGCTGTCATCCAGAACAGTGTCTTGAGGATAGATCAGATGGCACAGATGCTCAGACCTGATAGGGGGGAACAAAATGATGGTTGCAGATGTGAAATTGAGGAGAGCATCACCAAAACTCTGGCAACATTTTTACTGGCACTTTGTATATATGCACCTTTCACCTGCACACCTGGGCATCCCTACGCTTCACACACATGCACTTATACATCTGCAAGAATCTTCAGCAGTGAAGGAGGCATATTATCCTAAAGAAGAAGAATTTGGAAATGGAACAGAGCACTCTATATGTATATACTGTACCTCCCAAGAATCCTAACATTGAATTGCAATACAAAAAAAAAAAGTAAATGCATACAAACAAGTTACACATAGTGTTGATGGATCCTGGTGGGGGTGGGGGGGGGGGGAGAATGATGGTTGTAGGTGTGAAATTCGGAGATTGTCATCAATTTTTTTTAATGGAACAGAGCACTCTACATATACTGAACATTCCTCTTATTCTCTCCCTCGCATTCACCCTCTGTCGCCTAACATATTTTACTATCAAAGCCCATCTTCTCTGCGTCCATAATAATAATAATAGTGGGTTCTTGTAAAGCGCTCATGTCAGTCAGATTTGTCCCTCCTGGCACTCCCGATCATTACCCTGGCTTTAGCACGGCTGCCATACGGCGCTCTAGCATTTCAAGGAATAAATTCCTACCAGGTACCCAGTTACTTCGCCTGGGTGGAGTGTGGCAAATGTAGATCAATGTCTTGCCAAAGGACATTAGTGCGGCGGTGGGACTCGAACCACGGACCTTGTGATCGACAGTCCGGCGACGTATCCACTCGACCACAGCACCTCTTCCCTCTTTCATTCCTAGAAAATGTCCTTCAGCTGTACGTTTGTGTTTGCGCACTGATCACACAGTTCTCAATATCAGTTGTGATTCTACAAATCTTAAACACACATTAAATATTTGGTGTTTCCACAAATCTTTTACTCAAATTAAACATTTTGTGTTTCCACAAATCTGAACTACAAACAAAACTCTTTGTGTTCCCACACATCACATTAAACTTGAAGTCAAACAAAAGAAGAAGAAGAAAAAAATCACACTTCTGTACACAAAAGATCCAAGATTATCATTATGTTATCTTGTCTATCAAATCTTGTCTAAAAGACCACCAACTGCCACCAACTGCCTGTCAGCTTAAGACCCTCTCAAGGTGACATTGACTACACAGTTACTTTGATTATCAAGGATCACAGTATAGCTTTTCTACAAGTGTTCATTAAGTTATCAAATTCTTTGTATTATAATTATAAGTATATTGATTCATTTCCATTTTTATTTTTTCACTTCTATAAGTACCTAATAGTATATATCGATGATGAGAAGAATTTTTTTTCTTCTTTCCAGTGCATGAATTTGAATTGATTTGAATTTCTATTCACAATAAAAAATCTATCAAAAAAGAAAGAAAAAAGAATGGATAAAATATGGTCAGAGCAGCAGAGTTTTTTTTTGTAGTGGGAGGGGCGGATTTATTTAGGAATCTGCGACTTTTACTACTATCTCTGTCTTGAAACAAATTTTTTAATATTTTCATCTTGTTTGCATCTTTTATGATTGGTATTGCGAAGGTTCATATCTATTTTTCATCAAGGTCTAGGCCAAAAAATACCCTGGATGCTTTACAAATTTTGTATGGAGTTACGAAGTCTACCAAGTTTTAAAGATAAAGACCAGTTCTGGTCATGCGATTGCATTGTGAAAGAAACGTTGTGGAATCGATCAAAAATGGTTGATCATCTAGCATATAAGTATTGGTGTGTACTGCACGGTTCTGGAATCATCAAAATGATAAGAAAATTGGCCCAGTCTTCGTAAAGTTACAAGCACTGTACACAGAAAGATATATATGGGACTACGCACACGTGCGCGACACATGCATATTATCTATTTGGTCCCAATAGATAAACTAATTTACCAAATACATCAATTAGTAGGCGGTTTCCCGGCAATTTTTTTATCATCATGTATTAATCAAAACATATTCGTTCACATGATTGGTAATAAAAGCTTCCATTTCATTTTTTGAGAGGGGGGCGTTTTCAAAACTGGTCTTTACCTTTAACAAAAAAACAAAAAAAGAAATCTGCTCATCATGATGTGCTCTTATCCACAAAACATTTCTTCTCTGGCATGGAATCCTTTCTTGGAAGACTTTCCACAACAATAGCTTGAAAGAAAAATCTCCTTGGTAACGCCTTCCAGATGTTCATGACATCTTGGTTTGTTTCTGGCTCTCACCCAAATCTCTGAGGTCTTGCCTTACATTGCATGCATGTTACTTTTGCCAAATTTTCAAAGTATATTGACTTCTTAAAGGGAAAGTCACTCCTGATATAAAGCTGGCTTCAATAGAAGCAGAAAAATGAGAGGAGCCGGTCAGTGAAAGTTTGAGCAAATTTAAGTTGCGATCAATCAAACACAAATTGGCATCTCTGTGATGTATCTTGCGAGATCCCCTCCCACATGCTCTGTAGTAATATTTCAGAAATTTAAATCTTCCCTCAAGAATTTCTCAAGCAGCCGGTCAGAATGTTGTTTTTGTTTAAAGCATGATACATGTGCTGGTGGTGACTGTTCCGGGAGTATTCTTTGACAATAACCAGCTTCCTAACTTGATCTTTGGACTAACACTTTACCTAACCAAACCCTAACCATAACCCCAATCTCTGAAAAAAATTTGGCCCAGAAAAAGATTGATTAACGATAATACTTTCTCCCAACTTTGAGGTGAATGATACTTCATATATTCAACTTTAAACAATCTGCTCATCCAATTTCATGCTATAAGAAACTTTATGCTACTGTTTTATCCCCCTCTACATCTTCCATTTTCCTGGAAACAGTGCCTTCCAACATGAGTGGGATGATTGAATAACAAACAATGTTTGAAATGTCAGATGTAAATGTCAGGCATATGTCAATTAGCGTAACATTCTGCCAAAATGAGAACAATGGCTCATTAGCATGATGCCCGGTATTCTTGGCAATAAACCTAGAACCAATAATGAGCTTGGTGATGTACAAGCATGCAAAAATGTGGTTTTGTACTTGGTAGAATCGGTTGCCAAGAAAAACAAAATGTAATTATACAAAATCTATTAAAGTACGAGTTAAAGAGTTTTTGGAACATTTATCTGCAAGCCTGGACATGATGAAAAACATTTGGCACAGAGTTTTATTTTTAGCAAACAAAGAATTAGATGGGAATAATTTCTGAAGACTCATAATTCAATATCCGTTTAACGATTGGAGTTATCCTTTACCATTAACTGACAAATCAATGTAAGGGGTAGATACTCCTGTAAATATTTCCTAAACATTTTCAACTTCCTCTGAAGGGGGGACATGATAAGTGAGTTGGAAAGTGTAGCTCCTCAAGAAAAAGCATTCAATGTTCAAACTTTGAGAAATCCTGCATTCATGACATGAACCATGATTGGACATTACAAAATCCTCTTGGAATGCTGATGATAGTCGTGGTGGTGGTGAAAGTGATGATGATAGTGATGATAATGGGGATGCTAAAGACGAGGATGAGAATGATTGAGGATATGGTGTTAATGATGATGATGATGGTGGTGGTGGTGGTATTGGTTTTACGTTAATAAAGATGATGATGAACATGATGAGGGGGATGAGAATGGATGAAAATGGTGATAAAGAAGATCATGAACAATTTCAGCTGCTTTCTACAGATATTTCAACAATGTTTGTTTGTTTCTCTGTTGTTGTTGTGTATTTTTTTTTTTTAATTAGGTGGGCTGTATCTAATACAGACCACCTTATAATTTTGTTAAAATTGCCTTTATTAGGTGGTCTGTCAACGACAGATCACCTATTGATTTCGCTAGAATTTTCTTTCTTTATTTATTTATTTATTCTTTATTTATTTTTATTTCTTCCGTACACTTTTTTGTACACACGTTCACTCGAAATCGACATGGTCAATTTTTTTCAAATTTCTGTCAGTCATCAAGCCCTATGATTTCAAGTTAAATCAACTTTTTCAAGGTCATTAGGTCATCGTGACGTCATCCAGGCGCCATTTTGTAAAAATCAGGTCATTATCATATCTCAATAACGAGTCATCAAAAATCAACCATATATGGTATACATCAACTTCAGGTCAAAGGTCAACTAAAAATTTCATCAAATTCCGCGCGCGCACCTCGACGCGCACGTACGCGCGCATTAAAATTTTAAAATGCTCAAATTCGTTCCAAATTATTTTTCCATACGTTTTAGGCCATTTTAAGCATTTTGCAAAAAAACGCGCGCACGCACATGCGCGCGCGTTTTCACGCGTTATTGCATCTTCCAACATAGAATCGCCACATTTTTTCTGTCATCATATTTGGCACATTTTTTCAAGCATTTTGATACCTTGTTCAACTTTTTCTGCCCATTAATAACGGAATGAGCGTCCGTTTAAGATAATTACCGTGCGCGCGAGCTTTTGTAATACATAGCATACATGGGCAAAAACATGCCTGTACAAAATCCATTGTAGCGCTGTAGGATGCAAGGTGACCCCAAGTTTTTTTTCATATTTTGATAGAGTATGAATTGGAGATATGATTTCATGTTTCATTTGACCCTCAGTTAACTCATGACGTCATCATAATGGCCTCCGAACTCAAAATTTCAATTTTCATATTATGACGTCAGCAGATTTTTGGAAAATTGATTGTATCTCTGCAAATGTTGATCAATTTTCTTTCAAATTTTGATATGTTCTACCTTAGAATATTCTCTACGAATGCAGTGAACACGATATTTCATTTTGACAAAGGCATCATGGCGTATTTTTGCGATTAAAGGAGGCATGTCAATTTTTCACATTTTGCGTGTATTCTCTACGGGACATGACTTTTTCTCAAAACTGGATTCTACATTCTCGTCTTTCGGGAGCAATATCTCCGTCGTTTTATCTTTGTTTACGCTGAGCTTTGAGTATGTTGTAGCTGAGACAATAAGCTATCACAAGTGTGCCCTTTATTTTTCGATCAGATGCCGGGATCATGCTCATATTTCACTTACAAAGTGGGATTTGAGAATTCAGTTTTCAGTTTACGTGTAATCTCTATTGGAAATGTTTTGGTATATCGATATTACGCACTTGACTTCCGACCTCGAAGTCCCTGGTTCGAGTCCGGGCGTTTCCAACAATTTTTTTTTCTTCACTTTTTTTTCTTTTTGACCTTTCACTGTACCATCTCCTTTGAATATTAAAACACGTACAATCGCAAATAATGTAATAAACAACCATATTTACTTTAATATTACCCTATTATCACTTGATCCATTACTTTTGGCGTGTAACCCTTATGGGAGATGACTTTTTCTCAAATCTGGATTCTACATTCTTGTCTTTTGCGAGCAATATCGCTGTTATTTCGGCTTTATTTTTGTTAATTTTTGAGTATGTTGTAGCTGAGACTATATACTATCTAAATGTTCTCTCATTTTTTTCAGTCTGATGTCATCGTGGTCTGTTGATGATAATCATCAACATCATCATGATCATCATCATCATCATCATCGTCATCCCCATTACTATCAAGATCATCATCATCATGATCATCATGATGATCATCATTGTTTACATGTCTATATAACTTCTCCCTTTCTCAATATAGTAAATATTATAATCTATCATAAGACTTGAAGACAGACCACCTAATTCGTCCCCATGACGAATTAAATTTCTAGTTTATTTTTATTCTTTATTTATTTTTATTTCTTCCGTACACTTTTTTGTACACACGTTCACTCGAAATCAACATGGTCAATTTCCTTTGAATTTCTGTCAGTCATCAAGCCCTATGATTTCAAGTTAAATCAACTTTTTCAAGGTCATTAGGTCATCGTGACGTCATCCAGGCGCCATTTTGTAAAAATCAGGTCATTATCATATCTCGATAACGAGTCATCAAAAATCAACCATATTTGGTATACATCAACTTCAGGTCAAAGGTCAACGAAAAATGTCAAAAAATTCTGCGCGCGCACCTCGACGCGCACGTACGCGCGCATTAAAATTTTAAAATGGTCAAATTCGTTCCAAATTAATTTTGCATACGTTTCAGGCCATTTTAAGCATTTTCAAAATTTGCGCGCGCGTAATTATGCGCGCGCGTTTCCGCGCGTATCCGCGCGTCCTGGCATTTTGCAACATAGAATCGCCAAATTTTTTCTGTTATCATATTTATTACATTTTTCCAAGCATTTTGATACCTTGTTTACCTGTTTCCGACCAGTAATACCGCAATTAGCGGCTGTCAAAGTTGAACGCACGCGCCGACCTGCGCTATCTGTATCCACAATACATGGGCAAAAACATGCCTATACAAAATTCATTTTAACTCTTCAGAATTGATAGATAACCCCCAATTTCTTTCATATTTAAATAGATTATGAGTTGGAGGTATGATTTCATGTCTCATTTGACCCTCAATTAACTCACGACGTCATCATAATGGCCTCCAAACTCAAAATTTCAATTTGCATATTATGAAGTCAGCATATTTCTGGAAAATTGACTGTATCTCTGTAAACAATAATCAATTTTCTTCCAAATTTTGATATGATCTAGCTTAGACAATTCTCTACAAATGCAGTTAACACAATATTTCATTTTGACAAAGGTATCATGGCGTATTTTTGCGATTAAAGGTGGCATGTCAATTTTTCACATTTTGCGTGTATTCTCTATGGGACATGACTTTTTCTCAAAACTGGATTCTACATTCTCGTCTTTCGCGAGCAATATCTCCGTCGTTTTATCTTTATTTACGCTGAGCTTTGAGTATGTTGTAGCTGAGACAATAAGCTATCATAAGTGTGCCCTTTATTTTTCATTCAGATGCCGGGATCATGCTCATATTTCACTTCCAAAGTGGGATTTGAGAATTCCATTTCCCGTTTACGTGTAATCTCTATGGGAAATGTTTTGGTATATCGGTAACGCACTTGACTTCCGACCTCGAGGTCCCTGGTTCGAGTCCGGGCGTCTCCAACAATTTGTTTTCTTCACTTTTTTTTCTTTTTGACCTTTCACTGTACCATCTCCTTTCAATATTAAAACACGTACAATCGTAAATAATGTGATAAAACAACCATATTTACTTTATTACCCTATTATCACTTGATCCTTTACTTTTTGCGTGCAATCCTTATGGGAGATGACTTTTTCTCAAATCTGGATTCTACAAAATCTTGTCTTTTGCGAGCAATATCGTCGTTATTTCGGCTTGATTTTTGTTGATTTTTGAGTATGTTGTAGCTGTGACTATATACTATCTAAATGTTCTCTCATTTTTGTCAGTCTGATGTCATCATGGTCTGTTGATGATAATCATCAACATCATCATGATCATCATCATCATCATCATCGTCATCACCATTACTATCAAGATCATCATCATCATCATGATGATCATCATTGTTTACATGTCTATATAACTTCTCCCTTTCTCAATAAAGTAAATATTATAATCTATCATAAGACTTGAAGACAGACCACCTTAATCGTCCTCGTGACGATTTAAATTCTAGTTATTATTATTATTATTATTTATTTTTCTTATTTCGACCCACTTTTTTGTGGAGAAGATAACATGAAAATGGTTTAATCAAATACCTTGAAATTTGACACACATATGTATAGGCATATGAACAAAACACAGCAAATTTTTCAACCTTGACCTTGACTGATGACGTCATCTAGGCGCCATTTTGTGAAATTTTCTGAAAATTTACTCATGATCATATTTTCATAACAGTAAATTATTTCTCATTCATATTTATCATGATCAAGGACAATATCCGTCCGGTCAATTTCAGGTCAAAGAACGCGCGCGTGCGCGTACGTCCGCGCGTCAATGCGCGCGTAAAATTTTGAAATGCTCAAAATCGTCTCAAAATCATTTTGCATACGTTTTAGGCCATTCTAAGCATCTTATAAAAAATCGCGCACACGCGCATGCGTGCGCGTTTTCGCGCGTAAAACTATTGCACAACAAAGAATCGCCATTTTTTTTCTTTCATAATATTCCACATATTTTTACAAACAAATTGATAGCATGTTTATCTCTTTATGACTATCAATGACGGAATGATCGACCGTTAAACATAAATTTCCGTGCGCGCGAGCTCTTGTAATACATAGCATATATGGGCAAAAACATGCCTATGCAAAATCCATTGTAGCTCTTTAGGATGCAAGGTGACCCCAATTTGTTTTCATATTTTGATTGAGTATGAATTGGAGATATGATTTCATGTCTCATTTGACCCTCAATTACCACATGACGTCATCATAATGATTATATCTTTGTAAAAATTGATCGATTGTCTTCAAAATTTTGATATGTTCTAGCTGAGAAAATTCGCTACAAATCCAGTTTTCACGATTTTTCATTTTGACAAAGGCATCATGGCGTATTTTTGCGATTAAAGGAGGCATGTCAATTTTTCACATTTTGCGTGTATTCTCTATGGGACATGACTTTTTCTCAAAACTTGATTGTACATTCCCGTCTTTCGCGAGCAATATCTACGTCGTTTTAGCTTCATTTACGCTGAACTTCGAGTATGTTGTAGCTGAGACAAAAAGCTATCTCAAATGTACCCTTCATTTTGTCTCAATTTTTTGTTGGATCAGCCCACCTATACTTGTTCCAAACAAGTATTACAAATCTAGTTTTTTATTATTATTATTATTATTAATATTATTATTATTATTATTATTATTATTATTATTTTTATTTTATTTTTTTTTTTTTATTTTATTTATTTTTTTTAAATTTATTTATTTATTTATTATTATTATTATTATTATTATTTTTTTTTTGGGGGGGGGGGGGGTTCAGGGAAAATATACTAGTTCTTTTTAAAAGACTGACTCTTAACACTGATTGAATGCTTCAGAAATGCTTCAGTCATAGAATCAGACAGAATATAACTATATATATATATATATATATATATACACTTGAAAGCTGAAAATGATCAAACTAAAACACCTAATGTACAAGCGTACATGCAGCTGTATGACGACTCTTTTAATCCATTGACTTCTTCATTCTCTCATTCTTCACTCTCAAAGGCTCAATTACACAGGAGCCATTCGGTTCTAGTGGGCTAAGGGTTAATGAAAGGCATTCTGTAATCAAACGGTTCAAAAGTTCACAGAGATGGCTAAAAATAAACTCTGAAATCTGAGCATCATCCCAACGTACTACCATCGAGCAATAATGATTCCATCTCTAGATTCAACCTAAATCCCTACTCTGACACCCCCATTTAAACTTGAAGCTGCTGTAAAGCATGCATAAATCCCATGTTTCTCTCTCTTTATCTGTCAACTTAACAAGCAGCTGCGTGCTGGAAACCCGTGCCAAAAAATGGCATGGTTTTGATTGCTGTGCTCACCTCAACGCTTGGAGTAATTCCAAAGTGACATCAATCTGGTAGTTGAGAAAAAGAGAGAGAGAGAGAGAAAGAGAGAGAGAAAGAGAGAGAGAGAGAAAGATGAGAGAGAGGGAGAGGAAGAGAAAGATGAGAGAGGGAGAGGAGAGAAAGACAGAGAGAGGGAGGGAGAGAAAGAGAAAGTCATACCGAGAGGGAGGGGGGGGGGGGGGGGGGGGAAAAAGAGAGGTAACGAGAGAGAGGGAGAGAAAATGAGAGAGTGGGGAGGAGAGAGAGGAGGAATCAGAAATAGTTCTCACAGATGAGTGACAAGCATTACCAAGGGAACAACTGAAGATTTGACAATGGATAACTGATTTATAACAGATTTGAAAGTAGATGTTCAGGAAACATGCTTAGTGGATTTGTGTGAAACATATTTTGTTAATTATCATTTGGTTTAATTTTCTTTCTTTTGCATTATTGGTATGTGCCATTTATCATAATTACTGGAATCGGCGGGCCTGATTCATGTTTCAAGCATCGTAAGTATTTCCCCAATAGGCAAATGAATTTAAAGGCATCAAAGCTATACTGCAGTTTTATTCATTTTTGTTTTCGTTTGTATCTTTTGTGGTTGAATTATAAGGGTCATTCTTAAAATGTGATTACTTCTGACTATACACACTTACAGTGAGAAATCATGACCACTTTAATACCAAAACAAATAAATTGAAATGAAAAAAAGAAAAAAAAAGTACTGAAATACCTGTACTCGTGGAAAATCTTACATTTCAGCGCCCAGTCATTACCCGATTATCGTCTCATTTATATGTCCTTAATTCATCTAGTAGTTACATGTATATATTTCAGAAATATGTTTCTGTAACTCACCTCTATGAAGTTCCACTTTCTGGACGGGTTGATTGTTTGGAGCTCCTCTAAACCTGCTCGGCCCGTTAGACGGTCAGGAACATCAAAGCTGAAAGAGTCAATTTTATTTAGTCGAAATTCATTTCAATTTTATTGCAATAAATTTGTTAAAGATTTTCTTAAAATGACAAACAGCATACATGCATTTATGTTTTCAGTGACTATGAAATTTGAAATATGGAGTGATATTTTTTGTATTCTTGTTTTACCTTTGTTTAACAAGATCTTTTTTTTGAAGTGAAGACAAAATAGAAAATTCCTCAAAAATTTACTTAACTTTTTCCCCTATTGACCATGTCACAAATTTGGCTTAAAAATTATGACAGTTTCTATTGAACCATGCACTATTTAATACACAATTCACCTTTAAAGGTGTCTTATAATTGATGGCAGAGTTTCACAATGCACTCCAGTTTTTCCCCTCATTGTAATACCCCTCCCCTGTCCCCATTCCCCTTCCTCTACTTCCCCCTGGTTGCACTCTCCCATGGCTATCAGGAGGATCTGCTTGTTTTCAGATCCGCCAGAGGGATTGGTTTACACAACTAAGCCTCGGATTTCACCCGAGATTTCCAGATTTGGGATGAAACAACTTCATCTGTGACCTGTATTCGTGCGGCACATTGTATTATCATTCTTTCCTTTCATTCTATCATTCTTTTCTTCATTTCAGGACTCCCCAATCCTCCCCCCTCTCTCACATGGTGCAACCGTAAGCCTACTGTATTTCGACATCACCATGCGAGCTGATACTTACAAGCTGCATCTATTATTATTATTATTTTACATAAATGCTAGGGTGCACGTAATTATTTTTGTTTGCCCATACATCACTCGGGCTTTGACATCGATCCCCTTTTTCTATTATGTTGTCAATAATCTCCCTTTGATTTCTTTTGTTTTCTAAGTGTTGTTTTCCGTTCCTGAAACACAATTCTCTTTCTCTCCATATTTTTCTTCTCCTAGCCAATTCTCTTCCCTTCCCCCTTTCTTCTACTCCTCTCGAAAACCGTGTATTTGTCTATCATCCACAGCCCTAATCAGTCTTTCTTTCTCTCTTTCTCCCTCCCACCACATCTCTCCTTTTTTCTCACTTCTGCATCCACCTTTTTCTCTTGGCATAGCTCCAAAATCATCGGCAGAGACCATGGCAAACCCCAAATTTTTCTCTTCTCTCCAATTTTATCACTTAAAGGGGAAGTCCACCCTGAAATTAAGTTAGTTTTAATAGGAGTAGAAAAATGAGAGAAACAAGTCAGTGAAAGTTTGAGCAAATTCCGATTAAAAATAAGGAAGTTAGGATTTTTGAAGTTGTGATCAATCAAACACAAATTGGCAACTCTATGACGTATCATGCGAGCTCAACTTCCATTTGCTCAGTACTAAAAAAATCTAAAATTTTCATTTTCCCTCAAGAAAAATTTCAACCATACATGCACCCTAAATATAATAATTGCAAATATGTTTCTATACTCCCCCTGCAAGGAACAAATATATATTCCGTCATCAATAACGAAGAAAACATGATTTTATGGAATATTATGCACAAAGCAAATGAAGGAGAGCTCGTATAATAAGTCACAGAGTTGCCAATTTGTATTTGATTGATCACAACTTCAATAATTCATAACTTTCTTATTTTCATTCAGAATTTGCTCAAACTTTCACTCACCTGATTTTCTTATTATTCTGCCTCTATCGAAACAAACTTATTTTGGGGTGGACTTTCCCTTTAAAGACAAGCTTTACAGAACTCTTTCTCTTGCTCCTGCACACATACATGTGCATGTAAACAGTATTATTTCATATTCGAAAACAGAAGTGACTTGGACACCTACATGTTCATGAACCTCCTATCTTCATGACCCATGTTTATAAGACAGAGCATGTTCATTATCAAAAACGGGCAATTACAGACTGTAATTGTCTCCACCCCTACCTTACACAATAAATTCCTCCTGAGATGTACAGGTAACTAAATTATTTATGCCCTTACCACATTTTGTAATATTTAAAATACCGGTAAGTTAAAACAAAATTAAATTGTCCCGATTTAGGTTTCTTGAGATAGTGACATATTAAAGGTAATACTAAGTTTTGGTATGGGGTCATGAATTTGGTTCAAACTAACATATTGGAATCATATGCAATCCTACAACATTCAGTGATCATTGTCGTGGTTGAAATCGGGTCTAAAGTTATGCTATTGTAAATAATAACTCTTTATGTTGTATAGCTCCCTCTCAAGGTCAAGAAAATTATATATCACAACTACATATTCTGAGATTCTCATGGTCGCAGCTATCATTGCACGGCCGTAGGCGCTATTTGAAATTTATCAAAATTTACTGGGAGCACCGGTATATTTTTATATTCAACTTTTCTTGAAACCAGAAGAGTTTTAGGGGCTAAATTTTTGAGTGCTTATAATACATCCACAGGAGCATCCAAATATATCAAAATTGTAAAGAATCACTATTCACCCATTTTTCAAAATTTCCCCAAACTTTGTGTTACCTTTAAAGCTTGCATCTAAAAGCATTCAACAAATGCCCAATTCAACCTGTCCACCTTTCGAAGGGGAAAAGGACTAAGTGAAGGAAAGAAGAAAATAAGAACTAAGAAGAGGAAGAGAGAAATGACAGGGTAAGATAGGATAGAGAGAAAGAGAAGAGGCAGGATAGGAGGATTGGACGTTGACAAGAAAAACACAAAACTAGATGGACCTTCGACTGCGCTCAGTCGAAAATGATGCCTCCGCCATTGGGCGATTATACCAACCAAAACAGAAGCAATTTTTAAAATTCAACTTCAAATGTAAACCATTAACAGGTTCTCAGAATATCGTGATTACAAGCTTTTTTCATATACATGTATGACCCTTTGATCTTTGACCTCATGACCCTAAAATCTAATCAGTTCATTGGCTCTGCAAGATACATACATGTCCTGAGTTTGATAGTAATCCATGAGTCAGTTCTAATGAGAATGCGTTCACAAGCTATTTTTGCATACATAATGAGCCCCATGACCTTTGACATTTGACCTCATGACCCCAGAATCTAATCAGTTCATTGGCTTTGCAAGATACATACATGATATAAGTTTGGCAGGAATCCATCCAACCGTTCTTGAGATAACGTGATCACGAGAACGGGACGTACGTACAGACGTACGGACAGACGGACGGACAACCCGAAAACATAATGCCTCCGGCTACTTCGTAACGGAGGCATAAAAACATCAAAGTTTACAAGGGGTAAGAATTTCTCAATTGTTAACTGTAAACATCAATATTCAACATGGATATTCCAATCACGCACAGTTTATTATTACCTCTTCTTCTGTAGTTCAGGCCCTCTCTCCTTCTTCTTGTCTTTTCCTTTGGTTTGCCGAACAACAGTCCTCTGCTCGAATGCCACATTGAAGAGGTCGATAGGTTCTTCCCGAGGTACATACCTGCACAGCAAAGACATATATGGAATTTGCTTATTAGTTTACAATGACTTAAAACATGTAATGCTCTACTAAATTGGAGAGCAAGCCCCTTTCCATACCAAGTTTGGATTGTAACATCTGACAATAAAAGCATGTATTTGAATAAAATCTAGCAAATCTTTTACAGTTTGAGTAAATCAATCGATACACTATGCAAGATTTTCCAACTTTATATCAGACAACACAAATGGGAATGGAATATTAATTTTCAATCTTTTGTGTTTAATGTCAAAATGGTGATAAACAGACACTGAGTGATTTTGATAATCAGCTCCTTTTGATAATTCCTGACATATTTCTTGTGTAATTAGATTCCTAAATCCAAGGCACTGTAAAACATTTTGAGCCTCAAATTAGTGGTTGGTACTGCGTTTTTACAAATGTACTTGTAAGGTTTCTATTACATACCAATATTTATCCTCCAAATTTTACTGTACTAGTCCAGAATCTTATGAATGCACTTTTTTTTATTAAACCTTGCCTAATTATTTTTTTTCTTCCTTAATGCAACTTAAGATCTGTTCGCTTTCGATTCTTACCTATCTGCTAGAGCAGCAAGAACAATGGAATCCAAACCCCCGGAGAAAAGCACCCCAACTCTGCCACTCTCCCTCTCTTCTCCTGAACCACGAGGGCAGCAAACCGCACACGAGGACGAGGTAATACATGTTGGTATGTCTCCGTCGCGCTCACAAACATCCCCAGCATGCACGTGGCTCCCCACTCCAGGTGAGACCGTCATCCCGCTGTCGGCAGGAGATGATGGACACCTGTCACTGGATGCGAGAGATGGGTTCGAGGATACAATTAGGTCGTTGTCATGGCAACAAGGGATGTAGTTTGTTACATGCGACTGAGTTGAAGGATCATGGCCTGGTTTTCTCTGAACTCTGTTCACATCATCATAGATGGCACTGTCTAAATGATTCTTGTACATGGACTTTGTCCTTTCTGCTTCTTTTCTGTGAGCTGCTTCACAAGCACCCTCTACCATCCTTGAAGATGTTTCTGTACCAGATAGGCATGGTCTGAAACCATCATCAGAACAAGGCTCAGTTCGATGTATGTGGAGGTCCTGGAACTGATGCCCTGGACTGTTTTGAAGCACCTCAGTCCTCCTCAATGGCACATTGGTCACTCTCTTCCGAACCGCCTCTCCAAGAACCCTGATCAGTTCATCGGCCTTCTCCTGGACTTCTCTGCTCACACGAAGTACTGCATCCCCGTCCCTCGCCCCATCCCCCTCACCATCCCTCGTCTCAGAGTCAGGACCGGAGGCAGCAGTCTGGTCTGGTACATGCATGTTCAGAGGTGAGATGATCGGGTTGTCTAGGCAACAGTGCCCCATGACACACTTCAGAACATCACCAAATGGTGCTCCTACACTAACCTTCTCCGAAACGGTCACAGCTTGGCTGATGGGAGTAGGAGCTGGATCACTAGAAGTGCTATCTTGGTTTGTCCCAGGCTCAACAGATGGTGTCAGAGTACACATGGGTGATGGTTGTTGCCATGGATACCATACAATTTCAGCTGATCTTCCAGTAGAAGTTGCAGAACCTAAGGATGCAACATCCAGGCAAAAGATGCCACTGGCTGGGACTTCCTTCCATTCCGATGCCTTGAAGATAATAAAGAAAAGAGAGAAATTGCATAAAAGCATGTTGTCATATATTAGCCACTTTATCAAATACAGTCAAACCTGCTTTAGTGATCACCTGTCTACAAAGACCACCAGTCTATAAAGGCCACATTTTTTATTTCCCTTAAAAATGGTTTCCCATTGAAACATGTGCTAAAGGAACCTGTCTACAAAGACCACTTTTTGTGTTTTCCTTGGGCGGGGTCGTTATAGACAGGTTGGACTGTACTTCAAATATCTATTAAAATTAATGGCAATGATATGCATGGGCATGAATGAACTTGATATCATCTAATTTTCATTTGAAAAGAAACAAAAAGAAAAATCAAAATAAGCCTTTGTTGATAAAAAGGAAAGTACATGTATATAAAAATTCACTTGTTTGAGTAAGATTCATCAGCAGCCGTCTCGCTAGGTTTTACATTTTTGCACAAATGACCTTTATCTGCCCATGCGCAGATATTATCTCCAAAGTCGCCCAACAGTATTCTTTATTCTCTAACATTCTAAAAGAACGTCACCCTAACATATATGTCACCATCTTGACCGGTTTTGTTTGGGTTTCAGATTTGTGGAGGTGTTAGAAAGCTACTCTGATTAAATCACAGTCACCACATCCTTGATGATCATGTGGTTTGACTAGGTGAGCCCTCTTTTGTTTTGTTCTGGCACAGTCCTGATCTGTAATAGCTACTGACAAGCTGACAGGTGGAGTCTTCTTTTTAATACCGATGAAAGCTCAGCGTGATAATTGGAAGTTTGAGGGCTGTCACAATTCCTTACAAATTAGTGATCACTTTGGGGACCGCCCTGGGTGTTCTTATGATGCTCAACAATGCTATCCATCGCTTTTTCTTTATCTATTTTCCTCCCCCCCCCCCCAACTCTTTCAGAATGTTTCTTTCCATCCCATGCTCTTTGATTTCTTTCTGATACACGTATGTCTCTCTGTCTAAACTTTATCCTCCCCAATCTTATCCTTACATGTATGTGAATCTCTGCTCTCTATTCTCTTGGACCCCCCCCCTTTTTTCACTCTCACTCTCTCTCTCTCTCTTTCTCTCGCTCTGCTTTTCTCTCTCCCCCCCCCCCACCCATATATCTACCGTATGTCAATGCATTGAACGCTCTCTTTCTCTCTCTCCCCTAGATGTCAATAATTTGAACTCTTGCTCACTCTCCCCACCTTGCAAATCAGGTATAAAACCCTTGTAACATTTATATATCTCACCTTCTTTCTTCTCTCTTTCTCTTTTTCTCTCTCTCTCACTCTCATATTCTCTTTTCTCTCTCTCTCTCACTCTCACCTTTTCTCTCTCTCTCTCACCCCCCCCCCCCCAATTAACTATGTCAATGCTTTGAACTCTTGCTCACTCTCCCCACCTTGCAAATCAGGTATAAAACCCTTGTAACATTTATATGTCTCACCTTCTTTCTCCTCTCTTTCTCTTTTTTCTATCTCTCTCACTCTCATATTCTCTCTTTCTCTCTCTCCCTCTTTCTCTCACCTTCTCTCTCTCACTCTCACTTTTTTTTCTCTCTCTCTCTCTCTCTCTCTCTCTCTCTCACCCCCCCCCCCCTCCCCATTAACTATGTCAATGCTTTGAACTCTTGCTCACTCTCCCCACCTTGCAAATCAGGTATAAAACCCTTGTAACATTATATATCTCACCTTCTTTCTCCTCTCTTTCTCTTTTTCTATCTCTCTCACTCTCATATTCTCTCTTTCTCTCTCTCCCTCTTTCTCTCACCTTCTCTCTCTCTCACTCTCACTTTTTTTTTTCTCTCTCTCTCTCTCTCTCTCTCTCTCTCACCCCCCCCCCCCATTAACTATGTCAATGCTTTGAACTCTTGCTCACTCACTCTCCCCACCTTGCAAATCAGGTATAAAACCCTTGTAACATTTATATATCTCACCTTCTTTCTCCTCTCTTTCTCTTTTTCTATCTCTCTCACTCTCATATTCTCTCTTTCTCTCTCTCCCTCTTTCTCTCACCTTCTCTCTCTCTCACTCTCACTTTTTTTTTCTCTCTCTCTCTCTCTCTCTCACCCCCCCCCCCCCATTAACTATGTCAATGCTTTGAACTCTTGCTCACTCACTCTCCCCACTTTGCAAATCAGGTATAAAACCCTCGTTACATTTAAACATAGTATGGCAGGTGACACATGATTAATGGAGTGCCGATTCAATTTGCATGGCGCCCCCTCACTACCTAATTGTGCTAGGGAGAAGTGAGTTTTTTATTCCCTGATGACACAGACCACTAACCTTGCCCTATCATGCAACTTTCCATGATTTTTCATGACTCTTATTTTTACTTTACATAACCGAGGTGAACTCGGGTGGTTCTATGTTAACATGGGTTCACAAGGTGACCTGGTTTTATTGTTTGGTCATGATGCAGGACTTGGACCTAAAATCAATGGACAGCATTTTTTAACTGTTGCTTTAAAATTTGATGTGCATACTCTGTAATAAAAATGAAAATCTTATTTATTGATATGATAATATTGTAAATATGATATGCAGTTGAGTTTTATTTTCAATACAAACAAAAATATGAAGACAAAAATGGTGAGAAAAAAAATGAAAATCTGACCTTTTCAAGAAATCAAAGGAATTTTAATTGGTTAATTTCCTGTTTGTTTAATACAATTTATGACGTATAAGGGTTAATGTACAACTGTGTTTCAACCTTCTAAAGTTGATAAAGGAACTGGGTATCTTTGCCTCAGATTCTAAACAATATCCTGGATTTAGCTTATGCTGCAATCATAATTATAAACCTTACGCTGCAATCATAATTAAAAACCTTAAGTTCAGTCATGATCCCCTAATTTTTAGAGCCGATCGCCTGTCTGATTATGAAGATATTTATGATTGGAATTAGAAATATTTAAAAAACGTTGGCCAAACGGTTTTGAAAAGTTTGTAATAACACTACAATCTATTGGGGAAAATGAGTATGGTAAAACCGGTCATTTAAAGATTTTTAATTTCTTGAAGCATTTCATGATCATATTGAGGCGCAATTTTTGTTAGGGCTATATCACAGACACTAATAACAGGTAGGGCCATGCATCTCAGATTTGTAAAACTAGAAACATTGTTAAACAATGCCTTTAAAGGAAGAAAACATCAAGATAACAGATAGGAATAAAGACCAAATGAAAGTTTTGAAACAGATCTTTGGAGAATAGGTAGTAATTAAGTTACTTATGTGTCTCTCCAAAGGAAGAACTGCAAATGAGGGAAATTCCTCTTTTAACACAATAATTGATGTTATTTTTCATTGTCAGGGAATGTGTTTTATAGTGTATTCACTGCAGGACAACTGTTACTGGAGCATATGACGTGCAACCATTAACTGGAAATACAATAACCAAGATCAACTTAATAGACAATAAAAGAGCACAAAGGAAAAATCCCACTCAAGGACTTGATACATGAATATTCCCCAATCAAAGGCGCCTGAGAAAATTAGCCACATTAAACCTATATTATGTGATTGTCTGGGAGTAATTTTCTTCACTAGTTCAAATAAATCCCATCTCTCCTTCATGGCGACTTTGACAATTTGATTATCCTATTGTATCCGACCTAATAATGACTAATTCCATGAACCCAAATATGTAATTTGATAGTGCCAGAAAAGTACATAGAGCCTTGTTTTGCAAACGCATCAGTTTGTTCTAGGGGATTTCCCTCCTGGAATTTGCACTGAACTATTGTGTGCAGGTGGACAGTATTTTTTTTTAGAGGGGAGGGACTTAAGTTCCCAAGCCCCCCCCCCCCCCCCCCCCTCTGAACGGCTTGATTGATGCTTCTTCAAGTGAGTGAATGCTGTGCATAAATATCAAAGTGCAAAGATGATTCTTAAGATTTATTCAAGAAATAATTCATGCTGATCCGTTTAATAGATTGCTATCAGTAGCACATGTACCATGGGGATTCCATGACACTTTGTCCTCACAAGAGGGCGCCCCTCCCAGATAAAGGAATATTCCAAGAATGTCACGAATGTGCTTCTCAATGACGCTAAGTTTGTTACACTCTGCAGACTTTGCACACCGTATCAAAGGCGGTGACTCATCACAAATACCAAGTCATATCTCAAATTCAATAGCACTTGTCGAACGTTGCAACGATGCTCATTGTGTTCGCTTGCGATAGCTTGTATCAACAGATGGGTCGGCGGAACAATGCTATGAAGTCCTTATCAGAAGTAAACCGTTGTCATTCAAGTGTCAGTTTGAAAGATTGACATCTATGTTAAATGGCTCGTCTTTGACAATTGTGACTGGCTTTTAAATAAGTTTGAGAGGTGGAGGGGGGGGGGGGATGGTTGGGTTATCATCGGTAGAAATAGTTTACCTTCTTGATATTTCAAAAATAATACAAATTATTTCTTGGTATGATTGTATAAATGTTGTATGGCACTGTTCAATCTATAGTTCTCTAAACAGGTTCTGTAATGACCACTTGGTTTCCTTCATTCTTGGGTTTAAAGCTTTTGGCTCTTTTAGCAAAGTAAAAAGAAGGCTCCTTTGAATGTTTTAAAATAATCTACTTGCTTCTCTCTCCCTCCTTCTCTCATCCACATTCCTGCTCTCATAAATTCTCTCATCATCTCCTAATCCCTACCCTCTCTCTCTCTCTTAATCTTCCCATCTCCTTATCTTCTCAATCTCTTTCTCTCTCTCTCTCTCTCTCTCTCTCTTTTCTTCCCATTTCTCTCTCTCTGTCTTCTCATTCTCTCTCTCTCTATCTTCTCATCTCTCTCCTCTCTCTCTCTCTTTATCTTCCCATTTCTCTCTCTGTCTTCTCATTCTCTCTCTCTCTCTCTCTTTATCTTCTCATCTCTCTCTCTCTCTCTCTCTCTCTCTCATTCTCTGTCTTTATCTTCCCATTCTCTCTCTCTCTCTCTCACACACACAGACACACACACTCTCACTCACTCACTCATTCACTCACTCACTCACCCACCCACTCACTCACTCACTCACACTCTCACCCTCACTGTCGCTTTACCAGTCAGCATCCATCCATCCATTCATTCAACCTCTTCTAAAATAAGGTCAAGCCACTGGCGGTGCAGCGTGATGGCGCAATCACATGAATGACTGGACATCAAAACTAGAACACATTGGCCAAGTTCACATGCACATATCCCCTAAATACTCTTGAAGATCATGTAATGTACGTGATAGCTTTCAGTATATATTGCCATGACATGTTTTTCATGCACAATACATTTGTTCTAACTTCTACTGTGTACTACAGTTACATTCCACGAATGATTCCAGTAATCATTTGCCCAAGGTAATGTACATGTGTTCGAGTAGTACCCATGAAGACTTTAGACCTACATGTACATGTATTCAAGTTAAGTACATGAAAGTACAGAACGTATGCCAAATAATTAGGTTGTTGGCTAAGAAGAAGGGAAGGAGAAGAAAAAAAGAAGAAAAAAAAAGAAGAAAGAAGAAAAGAAGAAAAAGAAGAAAAAGGAGAAGACAAGAAGAGAAGAAGAAGAGGAAGAAGAAGAAGAAAGAGGAAGAGAAAGAGGAGAGAAGAGAAAGAGGAAGAGGAGAGAGGAGGAAGAGGAAGAGAAGAGGAAGAGGAAGAGGAAGAGGAAGAAGAAGAAGAAGAAGAAGAAGAAGAAGAAGAATGAGAAGAAGAAAAAAAGAAGAAAAAAAGGAGAAAATGAAGAAGGGGAAGAAGAACAAGAAGAAGAATAAGAGGGGTTGAGAAGAAGAAGAACAAGAAGAAGAAGACGAAGATATAAATGTACAAAATTACATCACATTGCCTAAAATTTGTTTTCCTCATTTGCCTCAGCTGTCATTTTGATGATATAAGAACCTTTTTATCCAACCACTACAAGTTCCTTTTATAGAAATGGCCCAACTGCTGAAGTACACTTCACCATTAAAGTGGTTCCACACAACTACAACTTCTCAAAATGAGATTATAATCATGACAAATCAGATTTCAGACAGGTGAAACAGAGGAAGAGAGAAGAAAAAGAAGAAGAGGGAAGGAGGAGAAGATGAAGAAGAAAAAGGGAGAAAGAAGAAGAAAAAGAAGAAGAAGAAGAAGAAGAAAAAGAAGAAGAAGAGAGAAGATGATGAAGAAGAAGACAACAAAGATGGAGAAAAAGATGACGAAGAAGAAGATGACGAAGAAGAAGATGACGAAAAGAAGAAGAAGAAGACGAAGAAGAAGAAGAAAAAGAAGAAGCAGAAGAAGCTAAATAAGTTGTTTCTTTGACTGAATTCTGGAGGTGTTGTAAAAGCCTCTCTCTCTCTCTATCTCTCTTTCTTTGGAGTAAAAAGGGGGTGACATGACATTAGCCCAACGTGGCCCCCAGTAGCTGGTTCATGATCTAGTGCCTAGGGAGTTAACCTACATCCACCAAACCCCTGACTCTCTTGGCACACCAACAGGTGCTTCTACTTGTTTACAAATCTCCTAATGCCTCTGAAACATTCTTCATTTAATTGAACATTTCTTTTCTTCTTCCTTTTCTTTTCTTTTCCTTCACCTCTATGATATCTACCTTTCATTTCGTTGTAATGGGTAATGCACTATGTCCATTCTATTTTCTTATTCGACCTCAAATACTGTCTCGTTCTTATCACCTTTACATTGTCTGTTTTTCATAATCTAATCTTCCTATCCTATGAACGAAAAAATCAAGGGAGTTCCATAAGTCAGCTTACTTTTGTCCTTAGCAGTTTTCATTCTTCATATAAATCATGATTGGAGATTCTGAATTGATTTTTCTTTTCTTTCTTCTTTTTCTCACTCATAACAACATTTTTCCTTCTTTCTTATCACATTCTACACATTAACCCCAGTGCAAAAAGAAAGAACCCAACTCATTCCCAAGGCACTATTTTGCTGCCAAGTTTTTGCAGGACAAAAAAAAATCAACTTCTGTACTTAAAACTCCCGTAGTTTGTTCACGAGTTGGTAAAAAAAGAGGGCAAAAGTAAAACAACAACAACAGCAGAACCAAACCAACAACATTTCATGTATCGGTCATTCACTTTATCACAAAGGGAATTTCAAAACAACTTAACTTAAAGGAAAAGTTGCTATAGATGTAAAATAACGAGTAAGAACAAAGATTTATAAATCTATCTTTTATTTAAAACTGAACTAGCAACAACAAAAAAAAAAAAGAAAATAAAGATCTAGCTTTCTCATGTAGCCTTAGATGTAAAAGAGAAATGTATTAAGCTCTCAAATTTGAAAATTTTGGCTCCATTTCGTGCTGTCAAGTCCAATTTCAGTCCGGATTACCCAGGAACGAGTGAGCTCCTAATTGATATCAGGGGTCATGTGTGAACACCCCCTCTGTGCCTGGGCCGGTGGTGGTGGTGGTTAAGGTCACATATCTGTCTGGCTGTTTATGAAGTGACATCACCTTGTTGAAGTGGCAGACACTAACAGGTCCATTGTGTTCTTGTCATTTTAATAATGTCAACAGGAGTTTGACATTCAGTCCAGGCCTGACCGAGCTGAATTACCCACCGATCAATGAGATGTTTATTGGACAAGGGGGTTCATCGTTGCTATAGTTTTTTAGGAGTAACCGCACAGGTTACTTCAACTACATGCACTGTGTTTTCAGATTTAAAATTGAAAATACTTGGTTGCAGGCTGAGGCCTGGGAACCCTGGGAGCCCTCCCCCCCCCCCCCCCCCCCCCCCCCCCCCTCCCCCTCCCCCAGCTCATGACCTTTGTGTCTCTGGGTAAGTGTTTAACCACTTGAATAGCGTACATGCACTTTATCAATTCACCTCTCCATGACTGACAATGCACATTGATAACACCTTTGAAGATAACTGGGTCACATTCTGCACATACTGCACGTGTACATCAATGTGTAGGTGACTTCAAGTTTAAAGCCCCTCTAAAAGTTTTGGGAGCCCCACAAATTTGATGTCTAAATTTCACTTAAATTTTATCATAATGTGAAAGAGGATGTCATCTAAGATACTTCTGCAAAGATCCCCCCCCCCAAAAAAAAAGTGTGTTTGAAGACAAATATTGATGAAAGAATTCATCATTTGGGTTTTCAGTCATGTATGCAGAAAACCTAAATGTTGCACTCTTTCATCGATATTCAGGGGTGATAGTGAGCACTAAAAAAAAAATAGGTTTTTTGTTTTCCCCTCAACCACGCCCCCCGTGAGTAAAAAAAGGAGAAGAGGATTCGTGGGGAAAAAATGGCATCTAACAACATTCCCCCCTTTCGAGTAAGAAAATTGGGGGAAAAATAGGGCAAAATAGGGAAGAATATAGAAAATAAGGGGGAATCGGGAAAATCAGGATAAAATAGGGAAGAAAAAAAAATCTGGTAAAAAATTAAATTAAAAAAAATCGAGAAAAAAACCAGGAAAAATAAAATAAAATCGGGGAACCGATTTAAATCTTAATGAACTTTGAATACAAATATAATGGAATAAAAAAGTTCCCTTTTAAATTTTGCATCAATATTTATACAACATTCCTTGATATCTTGATGACAGTCATGTTCCATGTAACCAACATGTAAATAATGTTGTGACCTGCATACTACCTTCATTTGAATAGCATCCATGCACCTTAGTATTATCTCTCTATGATTAACAATGCATACAATAACAATGAATACAAATATAATGGAATAAAAAAAAAGTTCCCTTTCAGTTTTGCATGAATGTTTATGCAACATTCCTACATGTAGATATCTTGATGACATTCATGTTCCATGTAACAAACATGTAAATAATGAGGTGACATGCATGCTACCTTCATTTGAAAAGCATCCATGCACCATAGTATTTCATCTCTAGAGCTATGAACAAGAATGCATATTGATCACATGTTTGAAGGCAACACGATGTGTACGTGTAGGTGACTTTTTAAAGACCCTATCCAATGAAACTACAACAATGGAAAGATGAATGAAAGTATAATATAAATATTAAGGAATAACAAATATTTTCCCTTTCGGTATTGCACAAAAGCAGATTAAAACCTCATTTTCCGCATCCCTCTAAATGACGGGTCAACAAGGGTGAAATTTGCCGCATAACTGGTGATAAATTGCCTTCTAAATAAAGGTAAAAGTGACTTGTGACAAGACTCATTGTGAGGAGGAATTAATTCAAAATTATGTTTCCCTTTCACGCTTTGTTATATGAAATAAATGCAAATAAATATGTGTTGATAATAATGTTTTTAAATAGATGATGTGATGTCTTCTTACCATTTACAAATTATCATTGGTAATTGGTCTGGGCTTTAATCTCAATCCTTTAATCCCCCCTAAAGTGTGTGCCCTATGAATCCATCAAGTCATCCATTCACCCATTCATCCATCATCGGGTCAATTACCTTGACATATTACATACCACTGGGATACCACAGGGCTCTGTCTTGGGCTCTGTCTTGGGCTCTGTCTTGTGGGCGACAGACGAAAGGGCAAAGGTCAGAGTCTTCGCACCAGACTGCTCCTCCCCGAGCCACAGGAGGCTGCGTCTTCCAAAGAAGTCACGGCCAAACCAGACACGCGAGTTCTTCTCCTATTTTAATACAAGGATAGAGAGAGAGAGAGAGAGAGAGAGAGAGAGATTTGATGAATAAGAAAAAGAAGTACTGCTCAGATTTGTAAAGGGTAAAGGGTACCATTAAATGATTTATTTGAATAATTGTATAATCATTTGTCGTATCTTTGGTTAATATTATGTTATTGAATTTGTATATATTGCACATTCATTTGATTATGTTATATTATGTGGAAAAAATTAAGAAACCTTAAAACCTTGATACAGGATGTAACACTGTAACGCTGCATGTTACATTGTAAATCTATCTCTTTCATCGAATCCCTATGACAAAAATATTCCTTTCAATGATTAACATCAAATTAATAAAAACAAGTTGTTCCCATTTAAAGGCATTGTTTAACAATGTTAAATCTGAGATACATGGCCCTACGTGTTACCAGTGTCTGTGATATGGTGTAATATTGAAGCTTTTAAAAAATTGCGCTTCAAAAAAAGTAGAAATCTTACCATACTCATTTTCCCCAATAGACTGCAGTATTATGAAAACAAGTTTTTGAATTTCGATTTCCAATCATAAATATCTTGATAATCAGACGAGCGATCAGCTTGTAAAAGTCATGGGGTTCCTGATTGACCTAAAGGTTTATAATTATCATTGCAGCATGAGCTGAATCCAGGATTTTGTTTCAGAATCTGAGACAAAGTTACCCAATCCCTTTAAGCAAATACATACACTGTACAGTAACCCATACATGACTAAGTCAAAAAAACATGAGCAAAAGATAAAACAAGATAAAACAAAATCAAGAAAGAAGAAAGTAAAGTTCTAAAGAACACTATAAAAATATCTTGTTTACTCAAAAGGGAAGATTAAGAATTATTACAATTCTCATATACGAAGTTAGACTTTTATTCACTATTGAAACTACCGTTTTGATAAGTTACCTTACAACAACAAAAGTGCTAAATTGCTTACTGCATGCCTCAAAGCACAAATGCGCTTTCGCTAGGAATTTATTGAAAATAACTGGGGTAGTTACAGTGGCTTTTTAACACTATTAAAAGCATCATCTAAAATATGATATAAGTTGGCAAAAATTTTGAAATGAAACTCGATCATTCTACAAGCACACTTGTCCAAAGATGTCATATTTACCATACGTCCAAGAGATTATAATTCCTTCCCTATTTTCATTAACTTTTATTTGAAATACATTATCATACGATGGGTGTTAGCGTTCAAGCCTGCCAATCGTATACATGAGCTTGTAAATATTTGTAAATAAACTGTATTATAATGTAAATATAGCAATCGAATGGATGTGAATTGCGGTTCACACACACACACACGCACACAGTTTGCAAGAATCTTCAGTCAATTTAAAGGAGGCAGACTTTATCAGAAGAAGAAGAAGAGAAGAAGAAGAATCGTACAGTAATGGGCGCGCGAGAAGAGATTGGGATAAAATAATACACAATATCTGAGATAAAAAGTGGTCTCAGAACACTGATTATTTTATAAAGATAAAATAGATTATTTTATAGATAAAATTTGTGTTCAGAATGCCACCCCTAGGGACTTATTACATTTAATGAAGTATACAGGGCATATAACAATTTACCAATACATGTGCCATACTATTATCATGTTTGATGTTATGTTTGACCTTACATGTATGTTTGATCTCATTTTAATTTTTATTATTATATATGCATGATTTATTAAATAAAGAACAGATTTATATTTTGTGTGTTTATTATAAGTTTTGGTTGTTTATTATAAGTTTTGGTTGTTAATTATCAGTCAGACAATGGTGCGCTTAGAAGCACCCGTATTAAGCGCCTAATAAATGTTATGTATTATTATTATTATTATCGTCATCATCATCATCATCACCATCATCATCACCATTCTATAGAGAGGTGACCTACCTGCCAGTAGATAAAGCTCCATGGTCCTCTAATGGCTCCCATCACCTTGACAATGTCATCAGCATTCTTTGCATCATGTAAGAGCTCAGACAGAACCAAGGTGTCATTCTGGCCCTGAACCTGCACATAAAACACAAGAACACCACACACCATTTAGTTGTTGATAACAGAGAAAAATCCTACATTTCGGCACATTATTCATGGACAAATGTCATTTCTAATATAAAACATCTTTGATTTGGTGCATCTTTTAATTCTAACTATGGTGATTTTATGTCTCCTCTTCTTTCTGTTCTATATTTCACATTAGATGAGTCTATAAGTACTGGGTTGTAATATAAGAATTGTTTTCTACAACGCCTATAGTATTGCTTTTTATGGTGTCCTGGTCTGGTTACCAACGATATGTACAGCAACTTAAAGATAAACTTGAGTTCTGGTAAAAAAAGAAAATGAATTCTCACAGAATCTAACGAAACTTACACTGAATGTTCAAGATTACAAATAAATGTCATGTGCCAAACAATTTTGGAAGAAAATGTATACTGGCTGAATAATGGGCATAGAAAGAAAGATAAGGAAATCAGGGTAGTACTAGCCCCGACACCATGTGTGTGGTCCCATATACATCTTTCTGTGTAAGTGATTGTTACTTTACCAAGACTCTGCCAAATTTATGATGATTTTGATGACTCCAGAACCTTGCATTACACACCATTACTAACATGCTATATGATCAACTTTTCTGATCCATTCCACACCGTTTCTTTCACAATGCAATCGCATTACCAGAACTCAAGTTTATCTTTAACCAGGAACTGATTACATTTTGATTACATTTTGATTACATTTTGGTTAAATTAATTTTCATGCAATCATTCATACCTCAATTCCATCAAAGACCTCCCCATTCCACAACAAGATATTCCCCTGCTCATCTTCAACAGGTTGGGGTGTCGGGTCGCCACGGAGATGGAGCACCTGTCCGAAGAAAGAGCCGTACACCGAGTCGCATCCACAATCCGAGCACGACTTCCTCTGTCCATCACTTGTACGAGTAGCTTCTTCCTCCAAATATGCTGGTTCCACAGAAGCCTTGCTCCCTCCTTCAACACTACCATCCTGAACTGTTGCACCATTCTTCTTTATTTCTATCAAGTCATTTTCCTTCTCCTTTCCTTCAGTAGTCCAACCCTTAGCTTTATCATGTTCATTATGCTCCAATGAGTTCAGCTCCAAATGTCCTTTACAACTTTGTCTCTCAACATCACCATCATCACAGAGAGGTTGATCTACCGGTGAGTTACTACATCTTGGTTTGTGCACAGGCTGAAGACAAAGCACTCTATTTTCTATTGCTCCTGATAAATCGGGTCCTCTCTTCTTTAAATTGGACAGCAGCTGCTAAAACAAAATGGAGATTTAAAGTCAGCATTAAAGGGCATAACCAGATCCTTTTTTTTTTTCTTCCTAACATAACGAAAATAGAAGAAAAAAATACTGCAAATGCTGTAATAAAGCAACAAAAGAAATGTAGCTGTTGATTTAAATGAAAAAGCTTATAACAGAATATTTTCTCCACATTTTCCAGGTGCTGCAACATTTTCCAGAATTGTTTGTTTACAAACTTAATTGTATCTATAATGGTATGATCAATTAGAGAGAAAATAAATGCCATAAATCTGTGTACCTGAACACAAAATTGCAAGTGGGAACACTGTTATTGAAAACCTGAACTAATGATGAACTGCATGATGGACATGCAGGACTTCCCGTTTTAGTACAGACATATCTTGGAGTGAGAGGTTTTTTTGTTTTTTTATACTAATATTTAGCTGAAATAATGTACAGGTTAGCTTAGCCAACTTGTAAAAAGGTTAGTGAATTTCTTTTGCACATGAAAATAATGCTGAACATATTTTTACCAAAATAATAATCAAAGATTTGTTCATTTTGAAAAGATATACTGCCCTGTGCATGATTCAAGGAGCATTTTTTAATACTCTTAACAAATGACGTACCTTAGAGTGCAGTGATGTACTGGCCTGTGGTGAGGTTGATAATACACAACAAATACCGCACATTTTCCTTTCTCATTGGGTAAAGCTTCATTCAGAGATCTGGAAAGATTATAAATATAGAAAATTACAATGTTGTTGTTGTTCTTCTTTTTTGGTGTTATCAGGGTTTTCATTCTTTTTGAGAATATTTATGCCTTTCATTTTTTTTTTCTTTTTAATTCGTACTATTCATAAATTTCTAGTTTTTGATAATATTTTCTTTTCTTTTCCTCCTTTTTCCTTAATCTCAGATCCACGAAACCCCTCGCCGCAATCAGCACCTTCCTGCCAGATCGGCGCGGTGCCTTGCGCAATCTTCTCGGTCATCATTGGCCTAGGCAACTCTGGTGCCGGTAAGAGGATTCTGGGGTAGATCATTGGAGTCTCTTGTTTGCACATAGAGATCATTTATAGATCTATGAATTTACGGGAGCATCTCTCGCTGTTGTGACCTACACAAAGAAAGCGCTGGATGAAATTTTAATGAAATTTTATTCTTCGCTGAGGAAACCAGACAGTGAAGATGGGACAAAACTTGATCGTTTCACCAAGAAAACAATGCAATCAATTAGATACTGTATGCCCTTCCTCAACATTTCAAAGCTGAAAAGAACTGGGATTTATCTGATAAGAATGAATTTCAGGAGAGCAATAATATCTTTGAAGGGTGGACGGTCGTTTTGAAGAAAGAGAAACACTCAACACAAATCACCAATATTGCCAGATGATATGGACAAAATTTTGGCGAGCAGAGATTTGGTTTACACGACAGCTTCTGGACTCCTGAATTAAGTGTTTTTTGACACCATTTTGTATTTCTGTAATCGAGGAAGGGAGAATCTCTGTGAGCTGAAAGCAACTGACTTTAAAGTTGATGAGGATGAAGATGGAACAAAATTCGTCACCGAGAGAGACCACTTAACAAAGAATCGCCTCGAAAAGGAGGATGAGTACTCAAGCCCTGTCAGGTATGAGATCAAAGGTAGTGACTGTTGTTCTGTGGCCTCTTTCCAGATATATGCATACATGCCAACATTTGAAAATCAGAAATCTGTACAAATTATGCTATTTAAAAAAAAAAGAGGAACAATCCTAACTCTCCTATTCAATACTACAGACAAATTTGTACAGGAAGAGGAACACCTGCATTAAAATGATAATTATCTTCTCCCAAAAAGAGGAATGTTCCTCTTTAATCTGAACAGTTGGCATGTCTGTATATGTCTCAAAGCTCAATCCCATGAAAGATAACTTTTGGCAAAAAATCGAATAAGAAGGTGTTTGCAGATCTCAACTGTTGGAATCACAATGCTCCATTGGCTGTAAACACACTCGGGACAAAATGAGAGAATTTTCGTAGAACGCAAGCTGCAGCCGTGTTTACATGAATCATTGTATTTGAGCGACCTGCATATCTGCCCTTGTCTGCATTGGTTTTGCAAGTCGTGACATCACGACAGTCAGTGGACATCAGCAGGGAATAATTTTCCTGGTATCGCATCGCAATTTGCTATGCATTTTTGCATGACTGCTATACAAAATATCTTTTGTGTAGCAGTTTTCTTCCATAGAAATGTACAGAATTTCATTTGAAATATTTATCCATCGGCTGAAATTGCTAATCAAAAAATTTGAGTAAAATTATTCCCTGATCAGTCTCAACATTCCATAAAAAACTACAGCTTAGAACCAGCCAGAAGAGAAAAATGGAAATGAGTGTTGAACTTTCTGAGAAGCTCTACAAAGAAAAAGTGATCAAGGAAATCCTATCTACCACAACAAGACCAGGGTCAACCAAGCCAGATCGGGACCAAACTGGATCAAACTTTAATGTTAATTCTTGATCTAATGTAACATCTGCGAGTTCAGTCTTTCTGGATCTGGTTGCAACGGCTTTGTGCGATAGATACACACAGCCTCCACTCAAGTGTGGATAGATAATGAAACATGCGCATGCATCATTTGTATATTATCACCTAGCCCTTCAAGCAGTTAAGGCTAGTGTAGGGTTGCGGTTCTAACAAATTCCTAGCGCTCTTGAGTACACAGAGGCAGCCCAGCAGACATGTTGTACGATTGATAACTACTGGCTAACTGACCAGGTTTTAATGTAGCAAAGCATTACAGCATTTTATGTAGCATTCCACATACATTCCATGCAAAGTAGAAGAAACCAATAAATATTCATATAGTCCCACACAAGTATAAATCAGCATCACAAAGTATTCTTGAATATTCAAACATAAACAAAGGGTATATATTGAATATTCATAGTATATGTAAATTATACTATAAGCTTGACTGCATCAGGTGAACATTGAAACCAATGAGAGAGAGAGAGAGATAGACAGATGAAAGGATGGTGGATGAAAGCGTGAATGTGAATGAGGGATGACCTATAATATGAAAGGGATGAATCATGGATATGAGGGGGAGTTTCAGAAGTTCAAAAATAAATCCCTACACTAGTTTTAACAAGAATGATGAGTGGACGGCAATGCCATAGCAATACAATGTGATCTTCAGTTTGCTCAGGCTTGCTTGACGTCACCCTTCATTATTAAAGGTGTAGCCTAGTTCTGGTCATGCAATTGCATTGTGAAAGAAACATTGTGGAATCGATCAGAAAAGGTTGATCATCTAGCATATAATTATTTGGTGTGTACTGCAAGGTTCTGGAATCATCAAAATGATAAGAAATTTGGCCCAGTCTTGGTAAAGTTACAAGCACTGTACACAGAAAGACATATATGGGACTACGCGACACGTTAGCAATATCTATCCGGTCCGGATATACACGTGTGTATATAATAATTTACCAAATATATCAATTAGTAGGCGGTTTCCCGGGCAAATATTGTATCATCACGATTAGTCAAAACATATTCTTTCACATGATTGGTAATAAGAGCTTCCATTTTGTTTTTTGAGAGAGGGGGTGTTTCCAAAACTGGTCTTTACCTTTAAAGTGCGAGCATCTCAATGCCTGATGTAAATTGGTTGTTTAATCATATCATTTCATGGTTTCGTGATAATCTTCCTTTCTTTTTAGGAGTATTTTTCCTCAATATAAAGACATTAAAATGTACACTTTCTCACAGGTTTCACGGCGAACCACTGCACAATGCAAGTGCATACCGACAGTGGGGTGCACGTGCAGACGTCGACTGCAGGCGAGCACACACGTCAATGAAGTTAGCAACTGTAATCTCAGACCCTCATCAAAATCATCATTATCATGCAAGTAATTTGCATTATGAATTGATGATGATCATTATGGTCGCTTACTTTACGCAGGCGCACCCCATCGTCCGTCGGTTTGCAGTGAAACCTGTGAGAAAGTAATAAGCCCAACACATGCATCTCAGGGTTACACAAAAGTCAATACATGGGCCACAGTGAACGCCTATTCACGCACTCATCACATTCATTTGATCGAAAATACACACTTTACAAAAAAGCCAACACTCCTCATAACACTTTGGATAACATACTCATAATCCAAACTAGAGATAAATTTGGTTACCAAAAAGTGTAAAATTCTTCTAATATTACCAAAAATTACGGTAGACGTTCACTCATTGCAATGACGACCTTCGTCATTGCCTTGTTTTCGTTCACATTCTGCCCCATTAATATTCTCCTTTTCCTCCTTTTCCTGTTCCTTATCGTCAGAAAATCGCATTCGTTTTGCACGTAGTGTTTGTTATTCCTGGTTCGGTGCTTTCCTCATGTCCTTTTTCTTTCAAATTTCATAGGCATGGTCTCTAACATCTCATCAAGGTCACTACATTCTTTGATTTTCGAAATCACTCATGCATAACCGTCCAGGCGCCATTTTATCCGTTTTTGGTCCATTTTAAGGCCTTTCTGTCTTCCTTCCTATCTCCACTATCCTAGATCCTACAAACTTCTAACAAATTCCTCTAGATAGTCTAATAGATGTTCTTTCATCTGCGACGTATGACCTGACCTTCAAAATGCCATCTTCGTACTCAAAATTCAAATCTGAAACTGACTCCGTCAAAAATCTCTCAAATTCTTGAAAAATGGACCCCTAAAAATCTAAAACTGCCATAACTTTCTCATATAAATTCCGTTTTGTGTTTTAATCTCACATTATCTTTATCTCATAATTGCACATAGCCATGCCAAATTTCACGCTCCAATGGCCTTGCACAACATAAATAGCGCCCTCTAAAGTTCTGGGAATTGGCTTTCTCTCTGTGGCCGTATCTCCATAATGGCTTGGCAAACCCGTACCCTTTTTTGGATTTAGATACTTGAAGATATGCCCTTTCCAGCCATATACAAAATTATATACCCTAACACTGACCAAATTTGAGAAAAATGCCCCCCAAAATTGCCATTTTCGAGAAAATTCGAAAATAACTTCAACTTGCTCTAAAATGGCGATCTTTATACCTATATCAGTGAAACTTGGCGGATATATGTATCCATATACGTGACAACTGTTTGCCAAGTTTGGTAAAATTCGAATATGTCAGCGCAAAGTTATCGCCCAAAATGATGAATTTACTATGCATTACGTAATAGCGCGTTTAATGCGTGCAATACATTGCGCGCAGATAACAATGGTGTCAAACTGACCGCAATGAAGTGCCCTTTCGAATCATACCAAGTATACTATATGTTCACACAGAAAATTGTGAGTAAATCGTATTTGAACAAAGGTCACTACACGAATTCCGCCGAGTTTCCGCCCGAATCTAACACGTATCGGCTATGACGTCATTTTTTCAGACTGCTTTTCGCCCCTTAAACGTCCTTTTTTTTCCTTGAAAATTTGCAGTGACATGCCGAGTTCCAATACGCAGGGCACCTCTTGGCCGGATTTTTGAAATTGGTCAAGGGGGCCATTTAAGACGCCATTTTGTCCTATACATCTATTTTACATCACGTGTTTCGATAGGATTATCATAGAAAAAAAGAGAGTGGTTTACAATAACAACCATGAAATTCTCTTTCTAATGATACCAAATACGGCCCATAAAGAGACGTAAAGAGAGAGAGAAAAAACAATTTAACTCCGGCCATAATACAGATCCTGCACGTTTTCCGCCCATTCATTACACGCATTGTCTATGGGGCATATCGGGTTCACGCTTTTGGCCCCAGAACAAACTTGATTGCAATGTCAAACATGCACCAAATCCCATTGGTTTGTGCACGCAGTGCTTGCGAGCCCTTTCTAGGTTCTTTCCCCTATCCCAATTTCTTTCAAACTTCGTAGGCATAGTACCATCCCATCAAGGTCACTGTTGATGCCTTTCTTTCGCCCTACCTATCTCCAATATCACAGAAGCTACAGACTTCGTGCAAATCTGGATAGTCCGAGAGAAGCTCTTTCGTTTGACACGTAGAAACACGGCGTCATTGCACGCACATCGTTCTGACACGATTGCATTTCTAGTTTCACAGTAATCTAGTCAGCGTGCAGCAGAAGCAGGGGGGTTCAACTCCGCTTCTGCATCCGTCTAGCCATGGGGAGATTTTGGAGGGTCAAAAGTGCACACTGCTTCCACTTTTCATGTATTAGCCTATGAAGACGACAAATGTTTAGTGCACCAGCGAAATGGGGATTTTGGACTGCGCGTAGCGCGCAAAATATTTAAATTAAAATTTGGAATATTCATGAGCTCTTTTCCACTTATTAGCATATTATCGCAATGGAAAAAAGACAATGCGCATGCGTTACTATATTGACATAATCCTTAATTGGGCCGGATAAATGTAGAACAATTAAAGGTCATGCAGAGTTGGGGAGGTGTGTGTGTTTGGGGGGGGGGGGGGGGGGGGGGGGGGGGGGGGGGGGGGGGGGGGGTAATAAACCCTTTAATGGTTGACTTAGTTGGGGCCACAAACTTCACTGTAACCAGGATGGAAAGTACATTTAAAAAAATTCAGTTCAGTTAAAAGGCAAAATAATGACCCCATTTCACTGTGGTACCTCAATTCATTTTTTACCTTTTTTTTTTTTGTTCGTTTATTAACTTAAATATTTTTCAAATCAGAAAACTGCACTGATCATTTAGCCGACTTAACACGTGATATATTCATATTTTTAGTGTCCAAATAATGAATCATTCTCACCTCGACTTCAATGTTCTTCATATTGTGCCCCATCCCCAATGAAATTTAAATTTTTGCATTCGTCGCCACTGATTTTCTTGAAATTTGCCCCCCCCCCCCAACAGTAACATTTTCAATACAGGGACCCCTTCCAATATTGACATTTCCATAGGCTCTATTAACCTCCCTCCCCCATCCACACCCCAATTACCTATGCTTTCATCATTTTGGCATTGACTTATTCTTTATTTAACTCCCCCCTCATCTTTATTGTAAACCATTTTTTATACTGTATTTATACATTAGTCTTGCCCACTCTCTTGTTACTTTTCCGCTTTCTCTCTCATTAGGAACGATGGTTAAATCTATCTCGCTGATGCCAGATATAAACAAACATCAAATGGTCGAACACCATACTCAATTCTACACAAGACTGCATCAGCCCCCATCTCACCTCAGTCATAGAGCATTATCATTACAGAGTGCCTACATCATCATAATCACCAGCATCATCACATATATTTCACAAAATAAGAAAATGAAAAGAACAGAATTAAGCAGTATTAACTAATTTATTAACATCTATGAACTCATTTATCAACATATTTTGTTTCTATAAAGATCTTTTTAAATCCAACATGACATCAACAAAAGGATGACAAAAGGATGGGGGAGGGGGGGAGGGGGGGGGGGTGCTGTCTCTTGAATTCAAATTTTTCAGTTGTAAAAGTTTACTGTAGATTTTGAGAAAAAAAAATCAATAATATCAACATGCTATTTTATTATGTAAAGCACAGGTATATACTGAGTTTTATGAGTACTTTATCTTACATTGGACATTATTGTTTTGTTTTTTTACTACTACCTGTATTATCATTATTATTACTGCTATTATCATGATCATTGTCATTATTGTTACTATTTGTAATATTGTTATTATTATTAATGTTATTAATTATATTACTACAGTATTACTATCGAACTACATCATTTTATCCCCCCCCCCCCCTTCAATTTACTATCCAGTTCAGCATCCCTAATATATTTGTCAGAACTTGACTTAAGATTAAATATAAAAAAACTATGTTTCATGTACATGCATTTAAAAGAACAAATGATTACTTTCATGATCCTCGATATATCTTCTTCTTCTTCTGGTAGTCTTCAAAAGGCGTTGTAGCCTATCACGAAGATGAATTAATACTAAAGATTACAAGTGGTGTGAGGAAGATAGATTGTTTATAAGTGGGATAAGGAGAGTAGATGCCTCAGAAGTAGTCCCTGGCAGTTTTCTGGACTGTCAGCATGCACTATATTTGCTGGAAGTAAGTTCCATTAACTTTGGGACAGAGTGTTGGGCAAATACAAACTTGTCTATGTCGCTTCTGGCTTGGTACAACTGGAGGGTCATGTCATGGTACTTCCTGCTCGTGATTTGTTAAAGCCCGTCTGTACTAGTTTGGTCTGGGGGATTAGACCACCCTGCAAGGTCACTTACAGGTGGTTATCTCATCAAATCAGCTCTCAATTAATATAAGAAAAAGAGGATCATGGGGGACCAACAGGCACCGATTAGGCATTGTTTGCTATATAGAGGGCGCAAGTAGCTATAAGTAGTGCAGTGGGAAAATTTTCAAGGGAGAGCGGAGAGACCATCGACTATCTTGTGCACCATTCCCAGTCTTCTTGCAGAGTGCCTTGTAGTTGTAGATATAGTAGGCAACTAAAGGTGCTGATCATCTCAGTCAAACTGCTGGTTCATTTGTGGTCCCCATTGTGAAGTAGCGTCCTGGACATCGGAGATGTTGTAGGGATCCCAGACACAGGAACAGTTCTCAAGATGAGGGTGTACTAGGGACTTGTACAAAAGAAGCCTGGGTATCAAACCTTCTGCAAGGGACAACCTGCATAATAAAAACAAAAGAGAGGAGAAATCAAATAAGATTAAAACTGCTGCATTACATTGGATTTTCAAAAATAGATCTAGTACCTTCCCACTTTGTTTAGGTCTTGCATTTTAATTTTATTAAAAAATGATAAACTTATGTCTATCTGATAGGGCCTTTTTTGAAAAGAAGAGTAAAGGTTTAGATGTATTTCCTATTATTTTAAAAGTAATTTCCAATTTATTTTAAGTTATTATTTGCTAGACTTTTGTGAGCAAAAGTTTGTTAGATATAATGTAATATTTAGGAAAAAATGCCTTTGAGTACGTCTTTTAATATGCTGAGAGAATAAACTGTAGCAACACCATAGTTTGTCACCTAAATAAAAAGCTAGAGAATAAATGAGAATTACAAGATATAATGCAACACAAAATGACAGTTCCCCAAATCTTTGTATATAGTCCAAGTCGAGTGCGGTGTTCGCATGGGCTTAGATTATACAGCCTGAATATTTTCGAACTTCATACAAACATACCTTGCCAGAGTTCAACTTAGGTGTCCTGTTCTTGATTAGATCTACACCATAACATTTGATGATCAGGTC